GCCTTCAAAGACGAGAGAAGTAACCATGCCCAAATTCACCCTCCAGAGACACGAAACTAACGCGATTCTAGGCGTCCGACTCGGAGCGTTTGCCCGTCTGGTCCAAGGCAAGGAGGTCAGGGGCCCTCGAGAGCCCAGTTGCCATGATGCCCACGAGTACGAGAGCCACGCGGTCGCGCTTTTCCAGCCCGCATCAGCACGCCAACGGAGGAGGAGTATCGGAACCTGTCAAGAAGAGCAAGGGAGCAAGCGAGGCCTCGAGGACCTTCATGCAGAAATGGTTGGAGCCTACGGTGCAGAGCAAGCCGAGCTTCGAGGAGGCTGGATTGATGCGATACGGCGTCACCGAGAACATGGCGCCCCTGGGCACGCTGCCAAAGGGACCACAGGCCAAAAAGCCGGGTCAGGAAGTCGCGAATCCCGTCAGGAAGATTATCCTCAAGTCGAGCTCAGCAAGTTCTGCTGTCGCTGCTGCTGCAAAGGCGGCGGCGGCGGCAGCGGCGGCAGCAGCTGATGAGGCAGATGCGTCTTCCATGGCAAATCGCTCAGAGACACCGACACCGACACCCCCTCCGCGCCTGCCTACTCCTCCAGCCAACGCTCAAAAGGCGACCAGAAAATCTCTTCCCGCACGTGGTCTGGACGACGACGACGAAGACGAGGACTACACGCCCAAGGCAGCCGCAGGAAAGAGCCATGGCCGTCGTGCATCTGCCTCCATCTCACGCAAGAGTGTGTCGCGCTCATCGGTAGGACGCCGTGCATCAGCTTCACTTCATCAAATGGCTCCCTCGAGCGACGCCGTGCAGCCTTCAGAATCGACGCCCGAGAACAAGGACGTCGTCGAGAGGGCTGTGGAGGTCGCAATCGACGAGGCGCTCCGGCATTACCGCTATCCCACTGCGTGGGCACTCCGGACCCTCTACGACGAAAATTCTTCTAACCCGGTCTTCCTCTCCATGTTTGAGGACGTTTACCACCAAACAGCCGACGAAGACACCCTCGACGAATTTTCTCGCCTTATCGAGGAGAAGAAGCGAGAAGGCAAGAAGGACAATCAGGCTTGCTACTTTTTTGTGCCCCCTTCCACCAACTCGCGCTTCACCCCCCACAAGCCAAAGCCTGCGCCCTACGGCAATCTTCTCTCTCTCGACCTCTCAAAATCGGACGACGAAGACGACGATATGCCTCAAGTTACCCCGACAAAAAAGGCTAGGAAGCGCAGGGAGATTCCGGAATCACCCATGGGCATGAGCGTCGACGACGAAGAAGACGACGACACTACTTTACTGGCGGCGGAAACCACCATCGCGACCATGACCCCGTCACGCAAGCGTGCCCGAAGAGATTCTGCAAGCAGCGACTCGTCCTTGTCAGAGCTCTCTGCATCTCCGTCTCTGCCACCCGACTCGCCTTCGCCCAGCTCTCCGCCCGTTTCCGTGGCTGTTCAAGGCGATAGCCACAGTCGCCGTCACAGTGCCACGACGGCTGCCACGGCTGCTGGGGCCGACCCCGAGACCACCTTGACCAGCGCACCACCGCCAGCCGATCCACAGCCAATGAAGAGACGCGGCAGATCCCTTGCTGCTAAGGCGAGCGTGTCTGACGCATCCAACCCAAACTCACCCACCCTCCCCCCAAACGTATCTCAAGCTGCAGGGGCTAGCAACATGCCTGGTCGACTTTCTTCGCCCATTTTCCCCAACCTTTCGACGACAGCAGCACCCTCGAAGGCGAATGGCAAGAAGAACGCCAACAAGGACAAGACTCCTCGCGTACTGCCCAGCGACGATGCAACCACCCTGCGGAGGAGAGATGCACGCGATAGCACAGTTAGCCAGACGCCCCAGCCTGAGAGCCATATTCGCGGTTCCGCCATGAGAAGCAGGGCTGGATCTATGGCCGCATCTTCACCAGCAGTAAATCTGCGCAAGTCGGCAAGAACACCAGCGCCGAGCTCGAATCTGCCTGTGAATCTGACTCTGAGCACGAGAACGACGAGATCAGCAAAGAGGACGCACGACGAGATCGACAATACGAGCTCGCCGACTGCGCCGTCAATCCTCGGAGAGGTGACGCCCGTCACGAGCTCTAGGGCTGCGACACCGACGAACCTGCGCCCTACGAAGAAGCAACGGACTGGCTTGCGTATCAAAACTTCGTAAGTTGCCTCTTTCCCCTTTGCATCATGAAATTTAGGCCTCGCTGTGGCAAAGCGGATGACTTGACATGATGAGTCGAGGGCGCCAGTGATGAGTGGCGCGAGCCTGGCAGCGTCGCACCGAAGCATCCTCGTCTCTGCCATCATCCGTCTGTCAAATTTCATCCATGGTTCGCCAAATCAAGCTGGACATAGACTGACGCATTCTTACAGACCCATGAAGAAGAAGGGAGGCACTGCGGCTGGACTACCTCGTGCCAGCGGTGAGGGCGGTGCAGTTGCCGCCAACGGCGGTGGCCCAATCAACCAGGTAAGCTGCCAGTTCAATAACGAATCCTTCAGCAGCACGGAGCTGCGGTCATTTTCATCGATGCCGCACCCTTACTGTTGCGTACGGGGAGCGAGGAGATGATGGGGCCGGGCGAGGGTCGGCGAATGGTGAGGGCATGGTTTTCGGGGGCCAAGGCGCACATCCCGAGGGATACTGAGTTTAGCGGCCAGTCCCGACCTCCCATTTTTCCCGGCCAGCCTGCACCCACACTCCTACTCATTTCCCGTAAATTGCCTCAACGATCACATTGCTGACACATCTCATCAGGATGAGAACGACGACTACTGCTCAGCATGCAGCGGCGTTGGAGAGCTGGTCTGCTGCGAGAACTGCTCCAGGTCATTCCATTTCGAGTGTGTCGACCTGGGGCTGGGCGACACTCTCCCCGAGGAATGGTTTTGCAACGTCTGTTTCAGCAGCAGATACCCCACCAGGGTGCCCGAACACAAGGGTCCCTTTGGCGGTTTGATGAACACTCTGGAGAAAACTAATCCTCGAGCCTACAAGCTGCCGCAAGGCGTGCGTGTGTATTTCGAGGGCGTCAAGGTCGGCCCTGAAGGCGAGTACGAGGATGTGGTAGTGCCCGCTAAGCCAAAGTAAGCTACAATCTCTGTTCTCACTATCTCGCTGTGTTCCAAACATCCCATCCCGCCTGTCCTTGGGGAACGCTTCGACTGACAATCACTACAGGAAGAAGGGCTATGAGGAAGCTCCAGACTTCTTCAAGGTTCGAGAAACTGACGGATCTGCTGTGCTATGCCACAATTGCCAACACCCGACCGCCGACAATCGAGCCATCATTCCCTGCAGCCTCTGCGGGCTTCACTGGCATCTGGATTGCCTCGATCCCCCGCTGGCAATCCCGCCTGTGGTGCGAACATGGCGTTGCCCTGCGCATGCAGACGACCTGTTAGCTACATTGCCAGAGGAGCTTGCCCCAGCTCACCGCTTCCGGAAGATCAAAGGCGCCCCGGTCATCGTTCCTGCCTTCAGCCGCGGCATGAAAAACAATGGCTTCATTGAGATTGATGACGAAGAATCCGAGGATGAAAATTCGGGTTGGAGCGATGTCAAGACCTTCGGTCGCGTCTACAAGCTGTCTTCCAAGGGCGTTGTCCTCGATTTCATTTCTCAGTCAGTTCTCTTGGATCCTTATTTTGTTGTTTTCAAATTCTAACAGATCTGCAGGCTTCGGAAGGATGGCGCTGGTCACATCAAAGGCTCGACGGCTTCAAACACCGTCCAGGCGCCACTAGTCAGCGAGCCCATGAGTGCTCGTTCACGTGTTGAGCAGCAAGCAGTGCTGAATTTGGTCGAATTGGCCTCCACTCAACCCACTACCAAGCTTGACGAGCTCACAGAGGCATTGCTAGTAAGTCAAGAACTGTTTGGAATTGCAAACAGTTGTGACTGACACATGTATACAGACAAACGCCGAGCCAGCTATGCTCTCGCTCATGGCTCGTGGCAGTGTCAATAACTTTGCCAGCGGAGATCTAAATGTTACCGATAAGCAGAGTCTCCGCGCAATGCTAGCTCAGATGGAAGCCATGACTGGTCGCATCAAAGGCTTGCTTGGAGACGACCAAAGAGAAAGCGGTGTTTCTGGTATGGGCATCGAGGCCGATCAAACGGCGATCGACTGTGACCATACCAACGGCACTGTCAGCACCGGAGACGACGCAGCCTCGATTAAAAATGAGTCCGTGGAGCCCCCTGCCGACCTACCTACGCCAGCGACTACGACCCAAGATAACCCGGAGCCGATCAACAGCCTGGGCGAGAAGTCTTCGCAGGAGGTCCCCAACGACGCGAACGAAGATGATGTGCCCGACATGGATATCGACTAGGCTAGCGTTAACAGCGATTCGACTATATGTTTAACTGATTATTCTTATCCTACCAAACACAACACACAAGGGTGGTGTTGAGACGCTAATTGGAAGTGGATGGTTCGCCTCGTCCCAGGACTAGGGAATCAGCAGCCAACACAGCCAATTGCGGATATAGCCCATTTTCTACTCTTTTCTTATTTGATTCCCCAAGACACGACCCCCACACGGATCTGGAGTTTGGGAGGGCTCAAAACGAAGCAGCGAGCAAGCGCAAAGAAAGACCGGTGAAGGAAGACCGGCCATAGAATCGAAGCGTACCGAGACAGGTACGACAGAAAGCCACATAGGCTTCGAGCGACCCGACAAAGCAAGCTCGCATAGTCATTCATGGCCTTGTAGCCATGGAGAGTGCAAACTGGATTGGCCGAAGCACGTAGAATGTGCTGAAGGCGAGGAGGGGACGGGCATCTGGTTATCTGCCCATGCTGCCACCTGGGGAAAAGGAATGGTGTGAAGGCCAGCTTTTTGTACCTCACTTTCCTATTCACCTTTCCCTCCAATTTTCTTTTCCCCTTACTGGAATTCCCTCACACCCTGCCTCAATCTTGTATCATAGGCCATTACCTCTTCTCGTAATATCTCTCTTTTGGACCAGCAGGCAGGGCTGGGCTGGCTAGATTACCAAGGGAAACAGAGCACTTCTTTTTTTTTTTCTCCAGGGAGGCAAGAGCGGAAAATCCAATTTGGGAAATGGGATTGATGCGACCTGAAGCCGGCCGGCGGTTTTGAGTACCTTGGGTCCAGGCCAGGTTGAAGGAGAAAGCGGGAAAATGGGGCAAACCCCGGGAGACGAAGGGAGGGTAGCCTGACGAGGCCCAGTAGATAGAATGCTACACCCCATGATCTATATAACCCACCATTGCCGTTCCCTCCAATGCTGCAGTTGTCATTTGTGAAGAAAATCGACACACTTATCTCTACGAGCATGGGCCTGCGCTCCTTTGAGAAAGTTTCCTAGGCATTGCCTGGATTGGATGGCACCGACAGTGGTACTCTAGTCTATTGTCTCTGCCGTTGACAGAAGAGACAATGAGCAGTGGAAAACCAACAAAGCCTAGCTGTGACAGATGGCATTTACTAGTTACAATCTTGGGCCTTTCCCCAGAATCCTGCCCATCCATTCGCCATATTGACGTTCTCTGGTCTAGTATCTTTCAGTCGTCGCGTCCCTCCCTCATGGACAGAGCAGCAGGTGTCTCCGACTTCAGGCTTCTTCTTACTTAACATCAACATCACTATGCTCCTTCGTGCACGGGAAACGGTAGGACCCGAGAGATCTCGTGTGGCAATATCAACTAGCTTTTACGACAATGCTTGACTAACAATACCTTATACTTATGCTATCTAGTATGAAGAAGAAAACACTACAAAAAAAGGAAGAAACACCCAGCAGCCCAAGGTAAAAAGTTTGCGTGGCTATCAAGAGTTTTTTTTTTTGCCTGACTGCCTGCCTAGCGAACGAACCCGGCAGGTCGCGGCATACACACACGAATGCTTTGACTGCGGAAACACACTCTCGACTCCATAGCTCTCTCATAACAAAAAGCAGCATATGCGATCTTTTAGGGGGTTGCGTCTTGACTGCCATGCGAAGGTGGGGCTTCAGGACAACATCCGGCTACCCTCTCTCGGTTTTTCTATATACCACGCCACAAGCAAAGTGAGGGTAGCAATAGTAAAGCTTGTAAAAAAAACTTCCCCAGCGGAAAAAAAAGAAAGGACAGGAAGAGTGAAGTGGCAAGTGGGGGGCTTCTAGAGCCCCGAGTGAAACGAAAATAAAAAACCCTCTTCGTTGCTGCGACCACATTTCCGGAGAGGCAGCTTCATGTTGTTGTTGCCCTGTCTATCATCAAGACATGGCCTCCTCCACATCTGGAGTGGCTTGCGCATTTTCCTGACACATTGGGCGGTGTGTACCCCCTTGCAAACATTCTTACATGACGATCCAGATCAACCAAACTCCTGTGCCGATCCCATACCAAGCCATCCCTTACCAAGCGAAAAAAAGAGCGGCATGAGCCAGTCAGACCCTCTCTGACCAGCAATTCGTCTGTACAAGTGGCGTGTGAATCATCGCTTTTCAACTCGTCAGTCACGTCGCGCTCTGGCTTGGTGGAGAGGGGTTGCGAATGGGGGATCGCTTACTCGGCCACGTCTTCCGTTGACTTGCTCCTGCTGCATGTACGCCATGTTCTGCATACCGCCCATATTGCCATAGCCACCATATCCCGACATGCCCATGTTCATACCAAATCCAGGAGGTGCGTACGGTGCCTGGCCGGGAGGCATCTGAGGAAGCTGAGTCGGCGGCTGAATGGGGCTTCCGTTGGCCAGGTTCTGGCTGCGGTACTGGTCAATGGACGGGCTTGGGCTGCTATACCCTCCAAAGCCTGCCTGCATCGGCGGGAAGAAGTTGTTGATGGGGGGCGTCGCACGGTTGAGCATGCTCTGTTGGTACTGGAGCTGCTGCAGATTCGCAGGCGTCGGCATGGGAGAGTTGGACTGGTTGTACATGGGGTTTTGAACACCATAGGGAGGGAAGGGGGCCATGCTCGCGTCGGCAGGCTCACTGCGTTGGCCGCCGAATCCCAACTCATAGTTGGAAGGGTTGACGGGCTGGTTCAACGAGTTATAGTACTGCTGCTTGCTCATGTGAGCAGCCTGCTGCTGCTGGTGGTTGTTCATGTTGGCCTGGCGGGAGGCCGGTCGCTGCCGCTGCTCATTGTTGTTGCTGTTATTGCCAGAGTTGCCATGGCCGTGATCGCGGCCACCGCCACTGTTGCGAGTCGACAGGCCAACCTCGTCCATCAAACGCTTGTAACCTTGGCCGGGCTGGGCCTTGATGCGGACCAACACGTTCTTGACGTTCTCAACCACCTGGCTGCGAATGCTCTCGTCAAAGAACGGCGTGGTGAGAACCTTGAAGATCAAGGTGGCGCCGCAGGCATGGTCACTCAGGATCGCCTCGAGAATTTGGTCGTTGGGTGTGAAGAACAAAGCCTTCAAGATGGTGTCTCGCGCCTCGGGCTCGGCCTTTTGGTTAATAACCTTGAGCACGGTGAGGTAGGCAACCTTGTGAGTGCACAAGTGGACGAGGCAGGGCACAAGCTGGGGGGACAAAACAGTCCTGCGCTGAGGGAAGGTGCAGGTATCCAAAAACCAGGTCAACAAGAGGGCACCGTTGGCGTTGGTGGCGAGCTGGACGCTGTGCAAAGCGATCGCGGCAGCCAGCATCCGCTGCTGCTCCTTGGTGGAGTGATGGCTCTCCAAGCAGGCGCGCATAGCTCGGGCACCGTAGCGGCCCTGAGAAACCTCCCACATGCGGCTGAGCATGGTTTCGAAGATGAAGTCATTGAAGGGAGCACCGAACTTGAGGCAGCCTTGAAGAACGTAGTTGCCGTACTGGTCCAGGAACAGAGGGATGGTGTAGGGTCTGAGGTGCTCGACAATCAAATTCATCTGGTGCGGGGTCTTGCAAACGTCGATAATCTTCTGGGCAGCCCAGGTGCCGTTCTTGTGTACGCCAATCTCCGCCATGTGAGGAGCGATCTCGGCCAACATGGCGTCCCGAAGGTCATCGGAGCAGTGCTCAAAGAGCTTCTGTACAACAGTATTGCCAAGGTAGTCGGACGCTAGCTCGGCAATCTCTGGCAGCATGTCAAGAGCGGTCGTCTCGATCTCGGCCTGGGAGAGGCTCTGGTTGTCGATTCTCTTTCTGATATCTCTGAGTCTCGGGGCATCGTGGACGCGGGTGTGGGCCGGTTCCCGGATGGGGGGAATCTCGTCGATGAAGTTGGTGAACTGGATCGATGATTGAAGACTGCGGGAGATCTTGGCAGCATCCTCCTCGGTGGCCTGGAACTGCTTAACGATGCGCATGATGTCACTCGTCATTTCTGACAGAGGAGGCACAACGGGAGCAGCATTGGCTGACTGGGCCGATGCATTTGCGCTCTCGCCAGCGGTACCGGGGGCCGCATTCTGCGCATTGTCCTGGTTCTTCGCGAACGGGTCGGGGCTGGGCGAGGGGAAAACGCCATCGTGGCCGGGCGTGTTCGAGGCAGAAGGCGGCTTGGCAAAGTTGATGCGAATGGGTCCTGCTCCAGGGAAGATTTCTTTTCCGTTCATGCTGGCTTTCGCAGTGATGGCGCTCTCCATCCGCTCGAAGTTCACAAAACCGCAGTTCTTGTGCGTGAGAACACGAGCAGACAGAATGTGACCGTATGCCTTAAACATCTCAGTCAAAGTCGATGTAGTAGTGGAAGTCGGGATGCTGCCGAGCCAAAGGGCGCTGGTAGGACCCTCAAGACCCTGGTCCTCGGCATTGAGCAATCCCGCATTGCGGCTGCTCGACCTTCCCAGGTTCATAGCAGCCACAGCTTGCGGGAGGTCGTCAAACTCCTTTTCATCCGGCAGACGGATCTCCGCAGGAGGGACGGCGTTGCCCATGCCACTACCGGACATGTAGGTTCGCATGAGGCGAGAGCCAGGAGTGTCGAGGACGCCGGCTGTTCGGGCACGAGGACGCGTAGCTTGGTTGGCAAACGCCTGGACAGCCAGATTGTGGTTGTGGATCGCAGCGTTCGTAGCTGCGAGCTGATCCTGGAGGTGGGCAACGTACTGGCTCTCAAGAGTCATGTCCTCGAACTCATCGTCCTCCTCGTCTGCGTACTTGTCCTTGTTGTTGACCGAGTACGAGCGGAAACGATTAGCCTTAGTAAAATCGTTGAAGCTCGGAATGTACGGTGTTGCCAACTGGGCGCGGGGAGGCTGCGGCGTCTCAGCAAGTCCCAAGTAGTCCAGCGTCCTCATATGGACATCGCTTTCTCCACCCCCCTCTCTGGAAATCTGAGATTGCGTGGGCGAGCTCGGCCCATTGGTCGAGCCGATGCTCGCAATGCTCGCAAGAGTCATACCCCTATCGCGACCCGTTCCGGTAGGGTTCCAACTGCTGAAAATGGACGGCCCAAAGGGAGAGCTGGTGCCGGGGATCTGCGCGAAAGGGCTCCGCTGAGGCATCGAGCCTGCGCGGAGGCGGGAGAGCAGCGCAGAGTTGTTGGAAGCCGTGTCGACCGGTTCGAGACCGGGAGACGGAGATTTGAATGGGCTGTGGGACGGAGTTGGCCGGGATGATTTGGGAGCCATAGCCGGGAGGTTGAGCAAGCCATTGCCTACACCGCCGGGCGAGAACCGCGATGGCACGGTTCCAGCACGGGCACGTCTCGCCTGAGGCATAGATTCGGGGGTGGGCAATTGGGCAAAGTCAGGAAAGCCATCGGTTGGCGACTCGGGGATGTTCTCGCGGAGGGGCGTAGAGTTGCCGCTGGTCGGCGGACCGCCCCAAGGATTTACCGGCAATCCGGGGACGCCTTCTTGAGCTTGAATTTCGCGGGCCCTGTCGAATTTTGGTCAGCAAAAACGGATGGTCACTCGCAGGGTGGCAGAGCGAACGAACCTCTTGGAGTATAGCCTGCTGGAGCCGGGCATCTCGTGCGATGGAGAGCCAGCCCCTGATCGCGAGGCGCTAGCCATCTTGCTAGAGTGATTCAAACCGCCTGGCAGGCCGAATGGTGATCTGACAGATGAACCAGCGGTCGGGTCAATGGGGGATGTGTTGTTGGCGGTTGGTGAGGTGGACCGATTCTGTGTGGCAGATTGGGGCGGGTAACCAATGGCCAGGTGATCAGATCTAGTTGACATTATCAATTATCTAGGCCAAAGCTCATCAGAAATTTTGTGACACTAGAATTTTCCCAGCGGGTTGCTGTCGTTGACGAATTGAGCAATGCTCTCCCGGTCGACGGTTGACAGGCGCGGGGGAGAAATGGACCCAATGAATTGTGGACAGCTTCGAGACCGTAACGTCTCGTATTCCACAGTCGGGGGTTTCGAGGGAGGGTGACGGCACGGTGCTGCGTCAGTTCCCAGCGTCTTCTCCGGGCGAGTATTGAGCGGAGGGTCCGGAGCTGCTGCTGTCGGGCTGTCCAATTTCGGTGGGCAGAGCAACAATGGTAGGCGTAGAGCAGAGCAGAGCAGAGGCGCGCGAAAGAAGAATGGTGTGGTCGTTGGGGCCTTTGTGCGGTAAGGAATGTTCGTCGAAGGGTTGAAAGAGTTGAAAGGTCGTGTTTGTGCGTGTTTCCAGGTATTACAAGGTACGCCAGGCCAGCCAGTCGGTCGGTTGCAAAAGGGCTGCTGGGTGCTCGAGAAAATAAAAGGAGAGTTCGACGTCGGTCGGGGGGAGTGAGGTCAAGGAATGTCGGGGGGGACAAGTGGGCTTTAGACGTGGACGTGGACGTGGACGAAAATCGGGCGCTGGGGGTGATGGAAAGATTTCTCTTGCCAGGCACTCGGGTAGCCGTTTTGTGGTCGCGTAGCTTTTAGCGGTGGGCTTGGGTCAATGTGGATGCTTGGTGCCGCCGATTGCTGGTGGTGCTGCTGCTGCGATGTGCGATGCGGATGCGGATGCGTAGCGTTGCGTCCTTTTGGTCTGGCCAGTCTCTCGGATCAGATTCCACAGGTTCCCAGTGTGTCTAGACGTCGAGAGTCCCAACAAGCAACCTTGGACGATGGAATTGTGTGGTGGGCGAAAACCAGCTCGTTGTCCTTTCCTCCAGATGATCTTTTTGAGCAAGACGTAAAAAGAGAGAGGAAAGAAACAAAAGTAAACGGTCTCAATATACAGGCTTCATTAGTATAGGGACGATGAGGCCTGGAGAAAGGGATAGGGGGTTTGGGGGTGTGGTTGAAGATGGGGAGTGTGGGAGTGGGAGAGGGGAAAAAAAGAGACACGAGCGGAGGAGTAAGAGGATATGTGAGTTGAGAGGCTTGATGGTGAAAGGGACCCTTTGGCGGTTGGCCTTTGGTCTGGAGTGTTTTGGTGTGTTCCGGTACAAGCAAAGCAACGCAAGCAAGCAAGTGCAGAGAGCAGATGCAGGACAGGAGACGGGAGTTTAGACGACTGGCCAGTAAGGACACTTTGTTAGGGGGTAAGGAGGGACGGCGAGGCAGGGGGAGGAAGGTGAGGTACCTCTGGCTGCTTGCCTCTGAGGCGGAGGTACTTGGACCAAGGCCTCTTCTTTCTCTTACGGAGAAGTGACTCGCGGTACTTCTGAAAGATGAGATGTACTCCGTACCTTGGACAGTTACACAATTGACCAGACCCGACCTTAGATACATCATACCTACCTCCCCATCCTCTCCACTGAACAATACCAGATGCCACAGCTCTATCGTCGACCCGACTTCAGACCTCTGACCTCAGGCATAAAGAGGCTACATAACGTCAGCCAACATGGAGTGTGAGGTAGATGGGCCAGCAAGGCGAAGCAGCGAGGCAAGGTACGGCGTGCCTGATGTAAACCAGCGTCTGGCAGGGCCACCGTCGCCGCCATCGTCACTCTACACGTTACTAGCACCACACACATGCCATGCCGTATGTACGGAGCAGGTAATGGATGTGAGTGAATACCTTGGATCCACGGGCAGTAGGAGGTACGGAGTAAGGTAAGGTAAGGTAGACTGAGGTTCAGGGGATTGGTGGTCAGCATCAGGTTTCCGAGTGGGGAAAGGTACAAGGCTTCACGGAGAGGACCACAGTCACACGTCAGTACTCCGTACTCCATACTTTCTCAGATTTCCCTGGACCCTCACATCTCCCGTCCGCCAGTCGTCACCTTCTGTCTCTGTCTCCAAACTTAGGGCAGTTTAGACCAGGGCAGACAGCTCAGAGCAAAACAGGGGACTGGCTGACACGATGCAGCGCCCATAACGGGGCCAAGCGGAGGGTTGAGGTCAGTGTGAAACGGCAGCCGATCGGCCTTAGTGTAGTCTTTTAGGGGTGAAAGAGCCCCAGCCTTGTCAATGCCTGACCCGAAGCTCAAGGCACTAAGGTAAGGGAGAGCGTCCAAGGCTTTACAGACTTCCAGTCTAGTTGTCGCTAGTTGGTACATCATTTTTGCTCTTTCGATAAACAACCCAAAGAGTACGAACTGGTAGCTGACTGTGACAGTCAATCAACTTCCTCTGGGGAAGGCATCAGATCTCGCTATTCGTCTACTCCTTCCTTTTTTTTTTTTTTTCACTTTCCAAGGCACCTCGTGCCTTCCCCTCTTCTCCCCAGGCTCGCCCCTCCTCCCCTTCCCTTTCCATGTTCCTTACTCCTAGGCTAAAGTGGAGACCGGTACATGACCTCCTCAGGGAGGAAGGGACGAGGGACAACGGCTGAGCGGGACAACGATTTGACACTCGTAGCGGTCTATAGTGGAGACCTTCCCTCACCTATCCACATTTTCTCTCCATATTTTTCCAACTTTGCACCTTGCCATCCCCCCGTTGCCCATGGAATGTTCGACGTGGAATGGAAGGCGGCAAGCACCGTCCAATTTTCATACACCGACAGGCAAGACCAAACACTCTGACCCGAGAGTCAAGACTCAAGAGACGGGGACAATGGTGCGTGCGCCGCGTCCGCCGTCCCCGTCAGGCCCGTACCCTCTGCTTCGAGACAAAAGTGCCAGGTTGCAAGTCGAATGCCGAGAGCTTGCACTCCGACGATGCCGCTAGACGACTTTGGGCAAATCTAAACAGCGCAACAACGTCTCAAATAGTCCATAACCACGTACAACTACCTCACCTCACTGTACGGAGTACCTTATTCTGGATAGATTCGTGCAGGAATCCTATTACACCACCACACCCAGTCTGCTCCTCGGGTGGTTACGTGGACACGCCTACACTCTTCGCACAATATCGTTGGCATTGTCTACCTAAGGAACACCTTCCCCTACGTTTGAAGCGTCGTACGAAGCCTAGACAGATTGGGGCTCCTCGTCGACGCCGTGCCCGGCAGCCTTACGGCCAGGAGAAAAGAGAACCCCGGCTCTTATTTGGCCTACTATTGTCGTCCCTTCCGAGCTGGATTGAGCATTTCAGCTGCAAGAGATGCCGGCGGCGATGCGATACTACCCATGGAACCAACCTCTCTGCCAGGAACTTCCATCGACACTCCCTCCATCAACAATACGCCCATTCCATCTCCCCGACCGTACCCCTTATCCAAAGCGATGGGGCCACCGTCAAGTAAAGCCTTCAGACTGTCATTAGATGTGACATCCCTCCTTGCCCGCTGGGATACTGGCCCTTCTAAATTGCATACTACATGCTGGCACAAAAATCCACATCCAGCACGCACACAACTTCGCCTCATCTTCCACCCAAGTTGAGCAGCCGACTGGCTCCCCACTGATTTGAGTATAGGGATATGGCCTGTCGTCAACTACAGTTGGGGGTCCAACTGACTTGACAGTCTCGATCCGATTCACAATCGCAAACCACCCGCACTGCACGGTCAAGCCACTACACTACGCTCACGCTACACTATTCCCTCGGAGGAACATGTCCAGCTCCTGATGTTGCCTTGAGAGCTCAGAGTTGCAGTACACACTGCAGAACCTTGCCGGCCACCAAACTAGTTGCCCGCTCCAGGCGAGCCCATGTCATATAGCCGCGACATCTTGGTGTCTAGGCGGCCGTGTCAGTCCGTCGACTCTTTCGGGAACTGCGGCTTCAAGAAGCCTTCAAGACCAAGAGTGACGGGGACAGTGAGACCCCGTGGTAACACAATTGCCCGCGCTCTAGTCGCAGGCTGTGTCAATACCGAATTCGCATCTTGATACTGTCACTCAAGGAGTGAGCACTTTATCGCTGAATTACCATGACGAAACTCAATCAACTTCGCTCAACCTTGAACGCCACCGCCCAACATTGTCAAGCAAGACTTTGACTATGGTTGGCAATTGCCTGTGCAGTAATGACAGACTGCCTGACTTGCTGTCACGGTTAAATTGACACAAGCCACCAATACCCCCGGCTGGTGTTCAAGGCACGCCGTCCATCAAGCCAGTCCAAGCGGCAGTGTGTCCTCTCAGGCTCGTTCAGGGGTTGCCCTCCGCCATCGCGAACCACAGCTTTGGATACCTCCAATTCAAGTCCATGGTTGTCCGCGAATATGATAAGGAACAAAACGGCTATTTTCCTATGCCTCGGCCTCCAACATCGCTTGATAATTCTTGAGCATCAAGTCAAGTTGACGCACACTCTGCGTTCAGCATTACAACACCACGTCGCTACCTGACTCGAACCTTGCCCGCGGTACTTTGTCGAATCATCGGTGCAGCAAAAGATACTTTCACTTGCAAAATAAAAGGGGGGAGGTGGCCACCAACAGACAGACAGCAAAGCTTGCGACGTGCTACCCAATGGGGCTATTGACATCGACAGGCCAAGGCCCAGCTTCACCAAGGGCCGCCAGGTGCAACACTGCAAAGGCGTGATGGAGATGCTGGTCATTTATGCTCCAGCTCGTCGCCCCCTGATCCTCCTCCAATGACAACCTCGGACCACGCTTGTCAGAGGATCTGCTAAAAATTCTGAAACATGGCTTTAGTCTTGCTTACCCTTGCAACGCTCGCTACCTACAGACGACCATGCACACGCCCCACGCCACGATCTGCCGCCAACGGCTCCCGCTACAACGCAACCCCCTTCCAATGCATTCCCTCGTATTTCGCTGTGGGCTACGGGCATTGCTGTTGGATGTTCGAATGGTGGCTATCTACACGACTACGGACGAATGTCGTGGGCACTTGGATAGCCTCTATCCTTACGACTACAGACCCCCAACAGAGCTGGTGTGCAGTGTCCTAATATGGCCAGGTATCGTCCCTGGCTCCTGAGCCGACAGCCGCCCGCATGCTCGCCCGATTAGGCCCGGGGACGAGCTGATCCTCTGCTTTGGGAAAAGACACTCCAAAGGCACAACTTGGATGCTGGCAAGGTCTCGTGTCGGAAAAAAGAAAAACGCTCAATCTGCGCATGCTGCGCTACTACACACTGAATCAACCGTTATCAAACGTTCAAGGGTTGAACGATGGCTTGTCTTCCATCCCAAGACAAATCCTTTGGGGTCCATTGGCCAAGCTTCCGTCCTGCCGTCCCGTTCACATCCAGACCTCTTGATTTGACGAGAGACACCTGCCATCGCAGCTCTTGACTTGGATCGGTCATCAACCAAGATACGAATACCTACCTACCTTACACACACCAGCCGCTGCCCCTTGAATCTGGCCGATGAGAGTGTGCCCGTCCTCCATCTGCACCAGCCCGTTTTACTGGCACTTTTCCGTCCTGGACCCCACCCAATCCTGTGTCGAGGCTTTCCGCCTTTGGTTTGAGTGACAAGGAGGCCCTTCTCCTCGTTCATGTACGCTCTGTGGTCTCTACTCAGCGAACATCGGACATCGTCCCTCCCTCGCTTTCGTCCCAGATTCAGGATGAAAGTGCCCTACCTACTTGACCTATACATGTGCAACACGACACGGACCTTTCCAAGTTTCCAGCCTCAACTTACTCCGCGGCCTCCGCCGAAACTGGCGCCAGAGCCCTCTTCCGCCACGTCCGTTGTGCGAGTGACGCGTTCCGCCGCGCAGCCTCAATGCATTACCGCCTACGGCATGATCGGTCGGCCATCACTCGCAGCTCGTTGCCCGCACCGCCGATGCGGCCCTCTTTCTCTTCACAACCACGAGGACCAGTCTCGGCTCCAAGCTCATCCTGGCCCGCTGTGCAACGAGACAGAAAGGCGCGGTGGCTTCGGTACTTGGCTAAGCAATCTATCAACTCATGCACAGCGGTCCCAGGTTCGGGGAAGGTGCCCGCCACAGTCAATTCTTGACCCCAGGCTTGCTTTCGTGAGGCTCAGAGAGGGGGCAAAACGGAGGCTAAACTTCCCCATCGTGGGTCCCCCCTTCTCCGACCAGGGCGATCACCGGGGTTCTCTCGGGTAAAAATAGCATCTTATCTTGGCCCCGACCTCATCCATCATCCCTCCCCCGCGACTAGTTTCGCAGATCTCGCGAAAAAGCTCCAGTCGTCAAAAAATTCGAAGCCACAAAACTGTCGTACCCGCGTAGGCATGGCGTCGACTGGGCAGAACCGTTCTCCATCCCAGCCATGAGAAAACTAAACTAAACAAGGCGTGTTTTCCATGCGAGTTCTTGGAGCAGGAAGAGGGGCTTGCGCTCGCTGATCAGCAGAACAAATCCAAGTTGATGCAATGAAGGGGGGCTGAAACACTACCCCGAGATAGGGCGATATATCGACCAGCCCAGAGACCTGGATCATTTCCAAAATATCGGTATGCCCAGATTGTCGAAACGACGTTGGCGCTCTGAATAGCTATATGGCGCCAATAGCTACCTGGCGTGGATAGCTACGTGGGCGTTATTATAACCTTGGTAGGTCTGCTTGGCATCGAGTGAGCCGTCCCCGACACCCGCTGGAAATAGCCACGGGGCTCCCCGGGCATGCGTCTGTCACGGACGCTGCATGTGAGGTGTGATGGGCATCGGGCAGAACAAACACATAGATATCGTGACCGCTTGGCATGCCGGGCGCTGCTACTCGACGCTCGGCTCACATTGCCTCGGCGGCCATTCAGGTAGCTCCGACGTCATTCGTCAGTCAGGTGGATGGTATGCCAATCTAATGGTAAACAGGATTTGTTTTTACGATCTAGAATATCAGATACTCCCATGGCATTCTCCTTTGAGGACGCAGGTCAATTCATCAGCTAGTATGCCACAATTTCAGCGGTGCAGAATGTATATCTCGATGGGGATAATTCACGATGAAGCCCCTCCCTCTGCTGCCTTCGCCAGAGAAAGCCAAGACTTGTCTGACATGCGCGGTTACTAGATCATTCTCGCCATTGCACTAACTCTTTTGTGAATGTGCTAAATTTGTTGCCAGAATTATATCCTCTTGCCGTTGCGTGTCTCTAACAGAAGGTCACATCTCATGTGGCGTCAATCTCCTGTGGTGAGTGCGTACTATCACAATCACCTTCCAACTTTGGTTGAGATCGAGTCTCTAGGACATTGCTGTGTTTGCTTCCCAGACATGTTCGTTTCGATTATATCTCATTGGGTTTCGCGGTACTATAACCCAGCCTCGGGTACTATTCAACTACATAACTTGACGCACGTCGAATGCGCTCTTTCGGGTTGAATAGATGAAAGATGAAAAGATGCTCACCTCGATAGGCTATATATCTCGGTGCTTAGATCGGTGCTCTCATGCCGGGGACTGCGAATCTCGAGCTCGGTGTAGTCATGTATGTATGTCATCAAGTAAGGCTGCGAGCCGTACGTTCGTCGATTGGTGACCTTTGTGCCATTCTACCGCCTCCCTGGCCCACAATGTACTGAACTGCATATAGAGGGGCGCCTGGTGTTGCTGGTGATAAGGAATGGAACGTGGAGGGGGGATAGACGAAGGAGAAGCTTTTGTTGTCTCGCGATGTATTGTGGTAGACTAGAGGAATTAACGCAACACCTTCCATTGAGATTGTTTTTTTTTTTGGAGTCCTATAACCCATTTACAAGCTAGCCTCCCGTATTTCGTGATCTGTCTCTTGGTACTTGATGTGTATTGACAATTTTCACACCGGATGAGTTGTATGTCTCTCGATCAAATTCCCAACCACTGTTGCGTCAACTACCACGTTGTTCATATCACTGGAAATGTTCACTTTTTGACACATTTAAATATTATGTACGTTGTTTTCATTGAACTCTTATAGTTCTATAACCTATTTACAACTCCTGTAAAAAAGAAAATCCTACAATGCTTGAGCCATTTTAATCCCTAAACGCCTGATGCTCTCTCTCTAGAGTTTATATCTCTACACTGAAAAAAAGACCCCATCAATCTTAATAATCATGCTTTCGTGAATCATCTTGTGTCTTCTGACTTTCATTCTGTTGTTCTTGATTCGCTTTAGTCGTAAATGTCCTCATCCATCTCATCAGCGACAAGCTCGTCAACGGCATCCTCCTCATCCATGTCCTCGTCATCGGTATCGAGCTCGCTGTCCTGATGGTTAGGCAGCACCACCATCTTGCCATTGATGAGCTCGACACGGGCGTTCTCGCCATCGCGAATGTTGCCACGAAGGATGAGGATGGCCAGCTTGTTGAGGACCTCCTTCTCAATCAAGCGAGACAGCGGACGAGCACCGTAGGCGGGCGAGTAGCCAGCGTTGCCGAGGTAATCCTTGGCCTCCTCCGAGACGTCAATGTATACCTTGCGGCCGTTACCCTCCAGCCGCTTCTGGATCTCCTGCAGGCGAATGTCGACGATCTTGCGGATCTCGCGGCGGGTGAGGCGGTTGAAGATAACGGTCGAGTTGATGCGGTTGAGGAACTCGGGCAGGAACCAGTTGCGGAGGGCGTTCATGACGAGCTCGCGAGTGGTAGCGTCGACCTTGCCCTCACGGTTGGTGGACTTTGTGAGATACTCGGCACCTAAGTTGGAGGTCATGACGACGATGCAGTTCTTGGCGTCGACGACACGGCCTTGCCCGTCGGTGATGCGGCCGTCGTCCATGAGCTGGAGCAGAACGGTCAAGACCTCCTTGGCAGCCTTCTCGACCTCGTCGAAGAGGAGGATGGAGAAGGGCTTGCGGCGGAGAGCCTCGGTGAGCTGACCACCGGCGTCGTGTCCGACGTATCCCGGGGGAGCACCAATCATTCTGCTAAGGGCGTGGCGCTCCTGGTACTCGGACATATCGAAGCGGATCATGGCCTTGGAGTCGTCGAAGAGGAACTCGGCGAGCGCCTTGGTCAGGAGAGTCTTACCGGTACCGGATGGACCGCAGAACAGGAAGCTGGGCGGCTGGTTGGGGTTGCTGAGACCAGACCGCTGCAGGCGGATGGCGTTGGCTACGGCCTGGACAGCCTCCTTCTGACCAACGACGATCTTGCCGAGTTGCTTCTCCATGAGGACGAGCTTCTCCTTCTCGCTGGTCTTAAGGCGAGTGACGGGAATGCCGGTCCAGCGGGCCACAATCTCGTTGATGTGATCGGCGGTGACAACGTCAGTGACCATGGCACCGTGGTCCTGGCCTGATGCGTTGAGAGCGGCGTCGGCAGCGGCCTTCTTGGCCTCGAGTTCCTTGATGACGGCGCGCTGCTCGGGGATGGCGCCGTACTGGAGGTCGGCGGCCTTGGCGTGGTTGCCGGCGTTGGCAGCATCCTCAAGACGCTTCTCGAGTTCGTCGAGCTTCGTCTTGGCCAAGTGAATCTCCTCGCCTCTCTTGATCTCACTGAGGTACTTCTGGCGAAGAGGCTCCAACTCCTCCTCTACGTTCTTGGCGTCCTTCTTTGCTTGGACGAGACGAGTCTGGGACGCCTCGTCCTTCTCCTTCTCCAGAGCGGCAATCTCAATCATGATTTGACGGAGCTTGCGCTCAAGAGAGTCAATAATTTCGGGTTGCGACTCCCTGGCGACGCGAACTGCAGCAGCAGCCTCATCGACCAGGTCAATGGCAGAATCGGGAAGCCTTCTCGACGTAAGGTAGCGGCCGGCGAGGTTGGCAGACGCTACCAAGGCGTTGTCGAGGATGGTAACGCGGTGATGTCTGTCGTACCGCTCCTTGAGACCACGGAGAATGGAAATGGTCTCGGCAATGGAAGGCTCCTTGACGAGAACCTGTTGGAATCGACGCTCGAACGCGGCGTCCTTCTCAACGTACTTGCGGTACTCAGCGAGGGTCGTCGCACCGATGCAGTGCAGCTGACCACGGGCGAGCATGGGCTTCAGCAAGTTGGCGGCGTCCATGCCACCCTCGCCTGAAGAGCCAGCACCCATGAGCAAGTGGATTTCGTCGACGAAGAGGACAATCATCTCCTTGGACTCCTGAATCTCCTTCAGGACGCCCTTCATTCTCTCCTCAAACTCTCCGCGGTACTTGCTTCCGGCCACCAAGGCGCCGACGTCGAGCGACAGCAGCTTACACGCCTTGAGGTTGTCGGGAACATCGCGGTTAACAATTCTCTGGGCGAGACCCTCGACGACGGTAGTCTTACCGACACCGGGCTCACCGATGAGGACCGGGTTGTTCTTGGTACGGCGGGACAAGATCCGCACGACTCTGCGGATCTCCTCCTCACGGCCAATGACCGGGTCTTGTTGCTTCTCACGGGCCAGGGCCGTCATATCAATGGTGAATTTGGCGAGGTTCTCGTGCTCCTCCTCGGTGTCGGCGTTCTTGCTGTCCACCCGCTTCGTGCCGCGGATCTGGGCGACGGCATCGTGCACCAGCTTCGCCTTGGGGATGTTGGAGTCCCGCAGGCAGGCTTGTATTGTGTGGTCCTCGGCGAGGGCCTGAATGAGGTGGTCGACGGCGATGAAGGAGTCCTTTTGCGTCTTTTGCAGCTCTTGCGCCTTGCGGAGGACGGCGTGGAATGTGGGTGCGACGGAGACCTGGTCCGGTGGCGGGTCTTGGCTCGGCAGGCGGACGAGCGTCTTCTTGAGTGCCCGGTCAAAGAGTTGCGGGTCGCCGTGGGCGCGCTCAATGACTTGTCGGAACATGGAGGACGTCTGCGGCGGGCCGTTTTGTTGGTCCTTTGAGAGGTCTGCCGGGGGATCGAGGAGGGAGACGGCGAGGTGGACGGGGAGCAGCTGGGAGTGGGCGTACTGCTCCGCGAGGGCCATGGCATCCTGCACGGCCTTCTCGCCTCTGTCGGTGAATTCCATTCGTGAATTCATGTTGGTGGTGTAGTTGTGGTAGCGATTGTGTGTGGTTGCGTGGTTTGTCTTGTGAGGTTGAGTGGTGGGTAATTAAGAGTGGTGATACGTGAGGTATGGTTGTTGAAGGAAGCTCAGAATGGCTTCAAGTTGAAGAGTCTATCATTCAACGGGGTATCTCAATATGTGCAAGAATTAGCTTGGTGACTTGAGAAGAGAAGCCAGTTGAAGTTTGATTGCAATGTTGAATTTATGCTTGCAAAGTGAGGTTCATCCAGACCGTAAACCTGGAAGTGGGCCAAGAGGATGGACTGATCCAGCATGCGCTGGCAAGGCCGGGAAGTCGTAGGGCAGCGACCAGAACCTGGTAGAAGTCGCGCGACGTCACTAGAATCTGAGCACCGACCGAGCCCAAACCGCGGGGTTCGCTCTGGGCGCACGGACCTGCCATCACATTCACCTTATCAAGATTATCGATAAGGCCGCCAAGGAGCGTTTTGTCCGATGTGGCTGGTGGCACTCGAATCATGTGACCTTTAGCGTCGAGCCACCGGTCAGCCACACTACCGGCGCGGGCCTGGGGGGACAGGTTCCAGAGCTTCGGGAAATTTTGTCAAGCTGCCCGTCCCGAGAAGTTTAGGGGGTTGCCGACGACGACGACGACGAACGAACGAAACGAAACGATACGTCCTCATCGACCGATCGGCCGCAAAGCTAGCAACGATGAACTCGGTCCCGGTATTTCGCTTCTCAAAACTGTCCTTTGGCGTCGCCCGGACGAGTATACGGCATGGCCACACGCGGTCGCGACGCAGGACGCCCCAGCATGAGCTCACCAACTTTGAGCCGGGCCACGGCGAGCAGATTTGGGTCTGGAGCCACCTGACCTCGAACCAGGTCATCTACTCGCACACAAAGCAGCTCGAGGTACGTTTTGGAGGCCTTGTTGCTAGCCAATTGGGGCAGCCAATGGCAGATCTCTCTTGGACCATGTTGAAAGAAGAAGAAGAAGAAGCTCAGCTAACATCACCAAACCTACACAGTCCCACCGAGCCCTCAAACAACTCCCCTTCAACGGCAAAAAGTCCAAACCCGCAAAACTCCGCCGCGACTACTGGGCCCCCATGGCCCTCATCCAGCTCCCCGCCGGCGCCGGCGCAGCAGGCCAGTCCGTCTTCCAAAAGCTCCGCGAGTTCCGCCGCATGCACGAGCTCGCCTGGGAGGACGACCTCCTCTACAGGGAGAAGCGCACCGAGCTCCTCAAGCCAAAGGCCATCAAGCCGTGGGGCGTCAAGAAGGACAAAGCCGCCGCCGCCGCTGCTGGTGCCGTAGACGACGTCAAATACTCCGTCGCCGGCGAGACAGAAGACGCCGACGCCCCCGCCGCCGAGGATACGAAGCCCGCCCCCGAGGACCTCGTCCGCGTCCGCAAAATCGTCCGCAACCGCCACGAGCGCTCCCTGGCCCTCAACGACCAGCGCGCAAACTCCATCGCCGACATGGCCGCCGTCCTCGCCGGCTTCGGCCGCGGCAACCGCCTCGTCGTCAGCGGCCGCGAGAAGAAGGCCGTGCTCGAGGAGGGCAAGGCGCTGGAGGGCCGCAAGTGGTCCAAGGCGCCGCCGGCCAAGACGGAAATCGTCAGCCAGTCTGGCCAAGGAGAGGGCGAGGTGCAAGAGGGCGCCACCAAGGCGCCGGCCGTCGACGAGCTGCTGCCCGCGACGATATACTGGGCCAACGAGGACGACCGCAACTTTGCGCAGGAGTGGTCCGGCAACGTCACGCACGACCTGTTCCAGGACGCCAAGGCGCTCTTGGAGGAGAACCAGTTCGACCCCGAGGAGGAGGTTGTCGCCGAGGTGGAGGCGCCCAAGGCGGCCGCGGAGCCTGTGCAGGCCGCTGGGGACGATACCAACTACAGCATCAAGGAGCCTGTGGCGGAGAAGGGCAAGGAGGAGAGCAAGGACGAGAAAGACAGCAAGGCTGACGCCAAGGCTGATACCAAGGCTGATACCAAGGCATAGATATGAAGGTCTATGTATGGGGCGAGAGCTAGGGGAACGAGAGCAAGCAGCAGCACTGTCGTGTAAGATTTTTGGCCGAGACCTTTTTTGTCACAATACGGGGAAAATGTGTACATCAAGAAAAATGGACGTGGAGTAGGTATTGTGCGATGGCATGGTTTTTCGTTCATTAAGGAAGAAAAGACTTTGCGAGTCATCTACGCAGTCCTGTTAGAAGTGGCTGGTTATTGGCATTGCCATGTAGACTATTGTATCAATACGGTTACATTGAACCCATGATGGACCGATTTCAAGGTCCCTGATAGAAAAACCTCCCAAGGTTTCCCTAAATCCCTATATCGAACTGTTCCGTTCAAAAAAAAAAGAAACCCGATTTCCCGTTTTTATAATAAAAACATGCATGTATAAATTCCACCCCTTGGTTGGTGGGCGTTCTTGGTCATCAACTTCGTTAAAAGTGTACGTTGTGTGTCCGTACGTGTACAACTAGCCGTACCCGTACTTAAACGTATACGGTGAAATTAGATCTGGATGGCAAACTTCTTGAGGTACTCGTAATCCTTGACGTTGGCATCGACGCACTCGCGGATCTCCTTGAGACCCTTCTCGCCGTACTTCTTGAGCCATTCAGCCTCTTCGGACTCACGGGTGATAACCTTTTTCTCGCGGGGAATTAGCATGCTGCGAAATATACCCCACACTAGTGTCTAGTGTGTGTTCGTCCGCCACACCAAAGGTCAAAAAAATATCCAGCGAGTTTCAAGGAAGTGATTTCAAAAGCGCCCAAGCAAACGGGCAGGTCCTTTTTTTTGTATCCAATCTCTTTCTGGGGAATAATTTTCGTTTGGGAGGGGGTACAGAACAACAGTAAAGCACCAGCCGATCAGGGGTAGGGGTTAGGGGTGACTTACATGCTTCTTGTCGCGCGGCTTGAGCGACGTGCTGCCAATGGCATCATCGTGCCAGCCGTTCCACTTTGCAAACTTCTCCTGGGCGACCTTGGTATCCTCATCGGTCCAGTTAAGCATGTTGTCGGTGAAGTCGAGGCCAACGTGGGCACAGTAGGCGCGGATGACGGCCTCGGGGTCGTCAAGCATGTCATCAGCGTCGACGACCAACAAGTCCTTCTCGTCTACGATGCGCTCGCGAATGAGGTAATCAAAGAGACGGCGGAGCTCTTCGTAACCGGCCTCGGACGGGTTGAAGTTTGTCCAGCCCGTCACGGCGTCCAGGGGCGGCTGGGTGCAGCGGTAGTACGAGGGGATGGAGCGGCGCGGGTGGCGGATGAGGAACGTCCACTGGAACTTGCGGAGGATGCTCAAGGGCAGGACGGTGGGGTTGGTGGGCTCGGCCGTGTTGCCGGCGGACGGGACAATGGAGGCTTTTTGCTGGTTGGGCGGGATGATGTAGTAAGCCATGTCCTTGATGAAGGCGCGCTTCTGTGGTTGGGTGTTAGTGATCTGGGCAATTGGGATATAGCATCATCATAGTTCTGTGGTGGTGGTGTTGAGCAATAGGTCGAATGCGACGTTGGTCGCGACTCTAAAAGCTCCGCAAGGGTACCAGGGAACGCTGAGCGGCGATGCGCGACATTGTGGCGGCTGCGTTGCAAAGCTTCCCCGGGTGCACGCACGCCAGCACCCCCAGCCATCAAACGCCGCTTCAATCGAAATCAATCCAGAGTTTCGAGAAGCTCTGTTTGAAGCTTCAAAGAACACCTCCGACCGAAAATTGAATCATTTTCGGGCGTGGAAGGGCAAGTTTAGAATTGACGGTGGTTATGACTGGGGGTCGTAGAAGCTCTGCAACTCAATTTGCCAGGGGTTGGGGGAGTAGCGTACTATAGGGGAATGCATGGGCGGAAATAGTGTGGAGGGGTGTGCGGGTGAGATCGCGATCGGAAAGACAACGACCTCATAATGAGGGGCAAATATGTCTTTGGAGGGGAAAAGGGAATCAGGGGGAGAGGAAAAAACATACATCTTTGCCGGCCTCCTCGATTTGCCTCAGAACATCGGCATACGTCGTCTCGGCGAAGCCAGACTTCTCTCTGCCCTCAGCGTCGTTCTCAAAACGCTCACCAGTCCGCTCAGGGCCATAATAGAACGCATCGCCAAAGGGCTCATGTACACACGCCAGCTTGTCCCGGCGGCTCATAAACACCTAGAATGATGAGAAATCGCCATGTTAGCTAATCCTGCTCTTCTTCACATGGCGCTCGCTGTGCAGAAGTAACCCCAGCAGCGAGCTGATGGTGGTTTCGGTGCACAAGCAGAACGAATGAACCCGTGGTAATTCGCTCAACACCACAGGTTCCTCCCCTCTCTCTCTTCCCGCCAGGCCGTCTCTCTTCCCCCCAAAAGGAACGATCCAGGCACCCTGAACCTTGTCCGTTTTTGGGGTCCGGCGGGATTGCGTGCTCGCTCGTGTCCCAGAGCAGACACGCAGGGAGGAACGAGCAGTGCCAGAAACAAGCCAACAGGCGTTATGGGATTGGGAAATCTCACTCTCTCAAAGGCTGTAGAGCAGGCCCTGGGGTGGGTCGCGCAGAAGATTGGCTTCGAAGGCGTGATGGCCATGATGAAGCACCTCAGCAGCAAAGATGGGGAATTATCCTATGGGATTTGCTGGATTTTGGAACAACCGCCAACGGGGAAGACGGATGATGGAATCCGGCAAGGGGTGAACGGGTAACGGGTAGGCAAGGAACCAAAGTTGCAGAGCTTCTTGGTGTCTTAATTGGCACCTGGTTGTGAGAAGCTCTTGTCGCGATGTCTAAACAACAAAAATGTTGGATGTAGGGGATCGTGAATGTCGAAATAACAAGGTATCGATGGCGAAATCGAAGAGGGACGAGGAGGGAGAGGGAGAGGGAGAAGCTGGTTATAAATCGTTTGGTCCTTCTTCCCCCCCTTCATGGTTCAGCTTTCCCAGAAGCTCTGCAACTCCCGCTTCTACGGTCCAGTCCACGGCAACGGCAACCGCTCCTCACTCGATCCCTCGCGCCGCTGCCGTTCCTTTGCCTATTCACTGCCACTTTTCCTACTGTCTACGCCTCTCACGTCCAGGTCCGACTGCCTTGGACCGACAGCCGTCGGACCAGACGACGAAAAAAAGGTACGTAGAGTTACAAAATGCGTACTTGTTGCGTCTGGACCATGGGCCAGCACGGTGCCCGGTGAGCCCACCCCTCCCTTCAGACGGGATGAGAGCGAGGAAGAGAGCAAAGAAGATGGAGTGGTGGTAGGGAACAGCCGAACAGGAAGAGAGGGTACGGTACTTGGTACCGAAAGGATGTGTGTGGCCATGTCCACACTTCACCCACTTGGGTTGAGCCTTGCTGCAACTCGGGACATTTGAATTGTGGGAGAAGAGGGAACACCAACAAGTAGATGGGCAAGTATAAGTCGGGTAAGACGAAAGTACTCTCTCATCCACGTTAACGGGCGAAAAGCAGTGTAAAAATCGGACAGGAAACACACCAAAGATACCTCGTCCAGAGACCAGACGGTTCAGCTCCGGTACTTGCCCTACTGCGTACGCATACCTTTGCCTTTGGATACTTCCTCACACCTTTCTACTGACTGAGCAATGAGGTATTCTTCGGATGGGGAAGGCGCCAGTGTATTCTTTTTTTCCCATCCTTCCTCGCGGTGCGAACCTTGTCTTACTACGCGCACTACACGTCATAGCACAAGGAATTGATCCGGCACACACCAATTGCAACACATGCGCCTCTGCGCCCCCAGCAGCACTAAAAGTCTGCCGAGTGTTGCAAGCCCGCTTTTGTCGGATGGGACAAGCTGGGAAAAAAAAAACTCTGTGTTTTTGCGTGCAGCAAGCAGCATGCAAATAGGTACAGCACACAATATGGCAGACGCAAGAGACGCGAGAAAAAAAAAGGGTATTTTGCGGGAATCTGGACACTTGCATAGCGTGGGTACTTTTCTTACGCAAGTTTTCACTCGGCCATGGCATCAAGGCCCCCAGGGAAGTTCCCGAACGGGTCCCGTTAGGAAAGTCACCAACTCAAAGAGAAGAAAGAGACCCCAGAAAAAAGCAGGGCAAATGGAGACGTTCCGCGGCGGAACGTGTGTCGTCGTGTGGGCCCATCTCGCGCGGGATCCAGCGACGAGCATCATTGTGCTCCAGCTGAGCTCCATCTGGCGACATGTCGAAAAACCTCGGCCTCGCCCTTTTGTGACTGCGACGGCAGATACTCGGCATCTGGGTATGAGCAGTCGGATGAGGAAACAGAGCCAACAAGAAAAATGAGAAGAGGTAAGTATTCAGAGAGAAAACAGCCCAGATCCAGGACCAAACTTTGGTCGCCATTCAACAACAGACCATATCAACCAGGGGGTCCTGCAACTGCTGCGATTTCAGCACGTCTTGTCCATGTAATCTGGACGTAATGGACGTGGAGTTGCCGATCCACCACCAGAATCTCACCGAACAGCGGACGGGCAGAAAAAAAGGCAAAGATTACACAGGAAAAAAGACATCCAACAGGAAACGGACATGGACCGGTCCGTTGAGGGAGGAGGGGGGAAAGTCAAACTAGACAGGAAAGAGGGGTTCAGCTCTGTGTGTGTGTGTGAGTGTGCAAGTGCACGGCAGACAGAGCAGGTGCACCTCAACAAGTTGCAAGAGCTTCGCAGAGCTTCCTAGAGCTTCTGGCAACCCCGACAACTCCAGGCCACCCCCTTCCGCGCCACGCTAAACAGTTGCAAGAGCTTCTTGACCCCTTCCACACCCAGTACAGAGCTTCGCGAAACTAACTTTGGCTCTACTCCTTGGTCTCCATCCTTCACGACAGCCAGCACATTGTAAGAATGTCCGAGACGATAGATAATCAGGCTTGCTTGGCAAATCTGCTCATCTTGTTGGCTGACCTTTTGGGAGGGTGCGTGTGTGGCCGTAGCCATGAATGTAGCCGGACGGGCGTTGTGAGACATTCGGACATAGGGCACGCGACCAGCCCTCTAGTCGTCTCTTCCACGCTCTCAACGCTCTCTCAAGACCATCACATGTAGCTCGAGCTGAAGCGATTGATCCGTCGCTTTTCTCCTTCACCAACTCTTGCGTGGGTTCGAAAAGCTCTGCATATGACAACTCATCCGTAACCATGGACAATAGGAGGGTCCTTCTCGTCATCGTTGTCGGCCCCCTTTTTCCTCTTGTCACGATTGAACCATAAACCAGGTCTCACAACGCCACCAGCTCGGCGTAAAGACTCGGCCATCAAAGGCTCATCTAAGACCTTCCCAGGTATCCATCGCTCCATCACAGAGCCAGGGTCGGAAGAGGCATTTTCAGACCATTCCAATGTATCCATGAGTCGACTCAGCATATAACCAGGGTTGAAGAGGCAAAAATAGGATGTAAACGCCTCAGAAGGACGAACGACGAGAAGACTTTTTTCGTTCCGCGGTGGCACTTTGCTGCGTTTCCATTACACAATGGCTAAGGGGACCGAAGAAAGGGACAGTTCAGTCATCCCACGCTCCCACGCTCCCACGCTCCTGGAGGGTCCTGGTGACCTGGTTCCAGCCCTCACAATGCACCTCCTTATCTCGAATCGACATTAGTTGCGATGTCGTCAGCCAGTCCAGGCCTGTTCCGTCCAATAGACTCCCCTTGTGTGTTCCCAGCAATAGCATGGCGTGCCCGCCCACTCGCCCCGTTTCCCCTTTCGTGGCCCTTTGTAGGCCGCAGTACCGCAAAACCTCTCAGTATTTGGCATGTAGACCAGATGTAGCCTCGAAGCATGTCCCGCGTGCCATGTCAACGTTTTGCTCAGGGATCATCGGCAGTCGCCAGAGACGGCCGTCGCCAACGCCGACATCCACAGAGTTGCCGAAGCTGAATCAGGCAAGGGGAATAGTCCAGGGCCTAGAAGCCAGACAGAGAGACAGAGAGTGAAAGAGAGAGAGACCGCAAGCCAAGTCACGAGGAAGGGAGGGGAAGACCACCAGCCAGTCCCTCCCCCTCTCACGACCGCTGGTCCTCCCAGCTCCCAAGCCACCGCCATCTCTCCGCCACCCGAGCCACCCCGTCCAGCGCCCCCTTGACCCTCCCCTCCGGATCCCGGAACCGGTGCCCCTCAAACTCGACGAAGAAGACGTAGTTGAACGGCGCCGTCAGGCTCGGCCGGCTGTTGATGCTCGTGAGATTCGTCCCGTAGCGCCGGAAACACTCCAACACGTCCGCCAGCGCGCCGGGAGCCTCGTGCGGGACCGTGAACGACACCATGGACTTTGTCTTCGTCTTTGGTTTCACGCAGTGGCCTGGCATCTTTTGCTTCTCGTCCAGCCCCTTTCGGATGATGAAGAATCGCGTCGTGTTGTCCTCGCGATCCTCGATCGTCCGCGCGAGCACGTCGATGCCGTGCATACCCGCCGCGATCTCGCTCGAGATGGCGGCGCTCGTCCCCGTCTCGTCCAGGCTGACCAGCTCCGCCGCGCGACTCGTCGAGCTAACGTCGATGGCCTCGATGCCCTTGAGATACGTCTGCAAGAAGGCGACGCACTGGCCCCACGCCTGCGGGTGCGAGTACAGGCGCCGGACGTGCTTGAGGCTACACAGCGGCTTCGTCCGCGGCTTCAGCGGGTTCGGGTCCGACGCCGTCGGCGTGCAGGCGCCGGAGCCTTCGTCTCCTCCTCGTAGTCCCGGACCGGCAGCGGCGTCGTGAGCCGGGTCCGGACGGCGGCCGACGAGAAAGTGGTGCACGTCGAGGTAGATCTCGCCGCAGACCGAAATGTCTGGGTACAAGCCGTTGCGGTCGGCAAAGTTGTCCAGCGTGAACAGGACGGACCCATTGGTTGAGTTCTCGACGGGAACGACGCCAAAAGCGACCTCGCCGGCTTGTACGACCTCGAAGATGTCTGATGGACGTTCCGATTCAAGTCAGACGGGAGGTAGCACACGCCACGGCGCAGGAACGAATAATAGAGAGAATGAGAAAAGGGGGTGGGTGCCAAGAACAGCAGAGACGACATAATGAAGAAAAAGGGTGGTGAGTTACGTGCCTGTGATGTTGACAACGGGTCTCAGATCCCATTCATCTTCTGGGAAGGCCTGTAACGAAGCCTGCGATGCATAAAGTTAGAGATGATTGACAAGTCCCACCACACTTGGCATATGCCGTGCGAGGTGTGATTTCTTTTCTTCAGATTCGTGGTACCTACCTGGTGCGTGTACGAGGCCTGGGGGCCCAAGAAGCCCACCAGAGGCTTGACTCCTCCGCCTGCAGCCTCCGCCGAAACCTGAGACTTGTCACTCATAGTTGGATCGTGACGTGACGAAAAAGTCTCTATGAAGGGCGGATCAAAGTACGCGAGCGTAGATTTGGAGGAGGCTTTCAAAATTGAGCAGTGTGATGGACCGTGGATGAATATTCGTCCGACGATGCTTAGAAACAAACGCACAGAGGTCGTCTGCGTGGCCGTGGAGGTCGGCGGACGATGAAGATGATGAGGAGGAGGAGCAGGAGGAAGGGCCCTTTATTTCCGGATTCCGGGTAGCCGCGTCGGGGTCGCACCTTGGCGCGGTCGATTGCTGCAGAACACAAAAGACGGCTTCCTTGTACTATCTCGAATACGAAGCCGACTTCATTTACTGATCTGCGCGTGTCCTACAATCGCTGGGGGCGCAAAGTCGACGACGAACGGGGCTGTCAGAATTTTAGATGTCGTGGTGATGGTGGTCGTCGTCGATATCGGAGGTTGAGTGGTGGATTGGGCTTTTTTTTTCTGGCTAGAAGGGGGAGGGGTTGCTCCCGCGGGGCATGGGGAAGATGCTCCACTCGCCGATGAGCAAATGCCGGGCCCGGCACGACTAAGACATTTGCGACCTTTGCCAACTCGCCGTCTTGGAGTCGACAATTGGTTTACCTGTTGAGCAGCCGTGGTCAGCCATGCTCATTTATTTTATTTTATTTTTTGGTTATACTGCGATGGCAAGTTTGCCGTCGTGGTAGCCGCTCCATGACAGTAAACTCACCATGGACGAGACACAGCTCAAAAAGTTGTCACCTTCGGCTCAGCCGCCTTAGGACTGACAGCGGATCGTCCCGTCGCTCAAGAAAATCCAGCTCTGACATTAGCAACTTGGGTCATGTGCGTATGTTGAGGGTGTCTCCTTGTTGGTACTTTCACTCTGCGTTGGTATGCACAACACGCTTTAAGCGTGTGCTCAATTCCGACGATCGTTCTGGTCTCGCGAGGTGTGCTTGCCAGTGTATCAGACCAAAAGTCTTCGGCTGCCGTGTGTATGTCTGCGACAACATTGGACGTAGATGATATCACAGCAGTCTCAGTAGCGAAAGGGGGCCATCGGACTATTAGCAAAGGCGGTTACCCTTGACTGCCGCTCATATCTTCAGCCGGCCGACTGCCGTCCGTGTCTTATCATACACAACACCGTCACGCCCCGCCATTTCCAAGGAAATGTGTTTCTTCCCAGTGAAGTAGTCCTGATAGCTCGCCGGTCCTTGATAGGAGGCCCTAGATAAGGTGACGACATGTTTGATTGCTCACGCTGGTCTGGCGTCCTTGCTGTCACAGGGTGTTGCTCATCAAGCACCGGCCAAGTCGCTTCACCCATCAGCTAAGCATCGACACGTCAATCAGTCAGCAACCACAATGGCGGCATCACGAGACCTTGTACTTGAAACAGAATGAGTTTTGCGTTTTTGTGATGACAAGTTCTCTGAACGAGATGGAAGGATACTACCGAGACTCAGACGGAACCACTGGAAGACTGACGACGATAATGCTAGGAGACAGAGACTCGTCCTGTCCGCAAAACCTCTCTCTCGTCAGCCATTCCGATGAGCCCGCGTACACGAGAAACACGAAACAACGGTTGAGTCATGAGCGCCGCAGCGTCATGCGCCCGGAACGACGTCGTTATGCTCAGGCCGCAAAACTTCCGGAGCCCGAGACTCCTCTTTCTCCGTCGATGCCGGGCAGATGGCCAAGCCGATAGCCGTCCATGCGGGGACCGGCGACCCGCCCGACAGGCCGACTTGCCGACAGTGCCAAAATAGGAACTCATGGTCGCCGTGGCGGGGGCGGCGGTGGCGGCGGAGCTGTGTGGAGCATGGACTTCGTCCGAAGCTGGCGGTAAGTGGCGCATCCTGGCGTGCCTGATTGGATTTTTTAGCGTTTCCGCACCAATCCCAGCTGGGAGTTCGTCGCAACTCTACTCCCCTTCAATTTCGAGTAGACTTTTTTCTTTCCTTCTCAGACTCTCTGCGAAAACCCCGTCTCTCACAAGCTGCAATGTTCATGCTGCTGTGATGCTTCGAATCTGCTGCAGGGGTGAAGCACGGCATCTATGGCGCAATAGCTGCTTTGAACCGGGCCTTTGGAAAGGAGCAGGGAATGCTGGGACAGTGGTGAAAGTTACCCCGTAGCTTTCATAGCAACACGGAGGCAGCAAGCGACTCCTTCGGTCTCGGTCCCGTTCCGTAGACCGCGATACGAGTTCGAAAGTTCATCGCGAGTGGTGTTAGTTGCGACGACAAGGCGGTCGTGGCCTCATCTTGGTCTTTCAACATGTTTCTGTTTCTTTGGAACCCTGTCCACGTGGAAGGCCACCGGTCAAAGGTCACACAAGCCACGGCTGACGACGTCAAGTTTGAACGACACGACAAGGCTCAAGCAGAAGCAGCAAGGGTCGTCGTCCGTGATGAGCAGCTAGGAAGGGTAGTGAGGTGCCGGCGCGCCGGGAGAAGACCTTCCCACAAGCCGATCTCCATCGCTTATTGCAGAGTGGCAGCGTGGCTAGGACCGATGGCTTTCTCTGGATGAGGGGGATTAGCACCAGGCCGAAATGTTTGTACCGCAACGAGATGTATGCAAGGCAGATCTTCCAAGGTTTCATGTTTCAGGCTTGTTGACGCCCGCTCTGACCAGGCCACGTTGGCACTCCATTTTAGCTGACCAGACGGCCGGATCTAGGACTGCTCTGCAGAGGAACACACTCTTTTTGGATGGTTTCCAGGCGGTCTGGTCTGAAACGTGAGCGGCGCGCTCTAGGGGACATATTTGGGAATATCGTCAGTTTTCAAGGAGTCATCTGTGTCGGCAAATGCCAAGTCTTGGTTGACCGTATGTGTTCCCCTCTCCTTGGGTGGCGACCAAGCGGCGATCGGGCCATAACTCATTTCCTTCGCATGACTGCAGTCACTGCATGTCCCCACAGTCGCGGACTGCTTTCGCCGAAGAATCAGCATCAGGAGCAGATGGGGATAAGCATGAGGTGCCCTGCGCGTCCTTCTGTGCGACGACGGCACAAACGGCTGCGTATCTTTCCAAAATAGCAGCGTTGGCGTAACCAAATCCACCAACATGCCGTGGAATGAATGGCACCTCAGCACTGTCAATTTCGCAGACCGTGGGTCAAAAGGTTGCAGGAAAAAGAAAGGTGACGTACATCTGTACTCTGTGTACACACATGTCAGGTGAACATTGTGATGTCTCCTAGCCCTGATTTTTCGTAGTAATCAGAGGTGTCACAGCAATAAGTGCGCCGTCCAGAGCTCAGCTGTGTGTCACATGGCGCCTCTTACAAGCAGAGAAAAGTCAAAAGGCGGCTCGAAATGACAATGTAGGTGATTGGCTCGAGATGTGCCAAAGAAGGCAAAGAGGCTCTGGAAGGGGTGAGGCCCAGCCGGGATGATCCACGATGCGCAAAGTGACGGTGAACGCCCTCTCCACGTTAGACGTGCCTTGGGCTCAGACTGGCGTCGCCGTGTTAATTAATCTGAGGGGGCGCCAACGCCGAAAGGTAAGTAGAAAGGACGCTCCGTAGCTCCCCCGAGTTCCCCCAGTCTTGCGAGCCAATTCCCATATGGAGACTGGTGAAGTAATGAAGCGCAGTGGTGCCGTGGTGGTCAAGTCTTGGTAGTCCCTGGTGTCCAACGAAGGAGCAGTGAAGACACGGCGGGATATTGGCGCCCAGAGGAGGGAAACCAGGGATGCAGGGCAGCGGAGAGGGTGTCGAGACGTGCGACACGACTGGTTTCAAGCGATCCAGCCCCGAGTTGAGTGCGGGAGTGCGCCGGAGCCAATCACCGGTGGACGCAGGCCATGCTGCCGGCCTTTGCGAATCTTCCACCGGCCTTGTCACTGTGAACTCCTGCAGTTCTGTTGTGCTGTCCTCGGCGAACAGCTTACACCTGACTTCCCTAGCGGGCACCTCTTGGTTCGTTGATAGGTAGTTCACGATGGTTGGTGGCGACCTGCTCCTCCTGGCAGGCTGAGAAAGCAAATAGGGGATTGCAGCCAAATTATCAGGGTGTGTTGGTCTGCTCGTTAGGCCTATCACGTTGCAAGGAGTCGGCTCCATTGTATGGCGTCCATTCAACGGACCAGATCTCCGCCTGTTGGTCAGCGGCAAAAACCAATCTTCGCCTATCGTGTAATCGTGTCATCGTCCCAAGCAGAGTGGAACCGGCGGAGGTATCATCGCAGCGGGGATCTCTGACCCTCTCGTGATCCGGGCGAAACGGACAAGCTCTTGTTGTTGACAGCGTCCGGTTGCGACGGTGACCTCCTCCAAGGAGCCGGGTATTGTTGTGGAGAGCTCATGCCGGGCCATTGTGTGTATCCGGATGGATAGAGGAGACCACGGAACATGGCATGCCAACGTGTACGTTTGGCGGGCCGCCTTGTCACTTGCACCCGAGAAGGGATCGTGAGCAGGCCTCTGCGGGCGGGTTACGGGTAGGCTGACGATAAGACGACGTCTGGCACCACGGAGGCGAGGCCGTGCATGATGGCGTGGCTACTAACCACTCGGTATTCGTACGCCTCGGTGGCTTTCATGGTATGGCCGAAGCTATCGTTGTGGAAGATTGTGTTCCAGAGGAAATTGCATCCCATCTTTGTCGGGAGTCAAGGGCGGTCGAGGTCCGAAGAGAGGCGCCGTGACGTGGCTTTGGCGAACAGAGTCTGAGGCTTTGAATAGGAACAGTCTTGCAAGCAAGGGGCGGGCGGCGCGCGCAACCAAGCGGGTTTGCTGACGGGCCAAGAATAGCAGAGAAAGACTCGGATGGGCGCGTGTAGGATTATTCCAGAGGTGAGCGAGAAGCCGGGGTGTTCTCTGATTTGTTTGAAGAACAACTTGAGCTTGGTTGGCACAACTGAATAAACAAACTACCACCCGCCCATCTGCCACTGTTCACGGACTCCGTGGCTGGACGTGGTTGCTATTTTGTTGCACCTCTTTTCTTCTCAGAGTCCCTGCAGGCTCTAATGTGTGTGGTCGTCATGATGAACAGGCCGTGATGCATCAGAAGCACGAGAGGGTCTCTTGTGGCACACTGCAATACAAGAACACGAGATATCGACTTGGCGGCGATTGGCTAGGCGGCGGGGGTTGCATGACGGCGCATTGAGGAGGGCAAATTACACGTTGGGGACACATTGGGGGATATTGGGGACGTTTCGCGGGGGGGGGGGGGGGTAAGACGGCTCACGGCTTTGTAATTCCTCAGGACTTCCTCAGGTACATTGTCCATGTTTCTGGTTGGAAGCACGGGAAGGCACGCTCCAGAGTCTTTCAACCTAGAGTACCTTCCTCAGTGATGGGCAGTAAAATGCGCTTGGAAAGTACTGACTGGGCAGTCAAGCAGTGAGGGCAAGTGCTAATGAGGAGTCACGACAGCTCAGGGAAGGTACTGACTGAGGAGGGCAGGTGCCGCTGCAGAGCCAAAGTTTGGGTGGGGACGTGCGGCGTTGACCCTGCTTGAGCCAGTTTCATGAAGCCGCCGCCGTCGCCATACCCTTGCAAACGCCCTTTTAAAGGTTGCCATGTTGCCAAGGGTGCATACAGGGGCTTGGCTACTCCATCCATGATCCGCCATTGCGCCTGAGACTCATCGTGGAAGGAGAGGAGAGAGAAACAGAAGAAGCCTTTGGCCAGCGAAAACCTTGTTGAATCGACGTGCCATTTTGCCGTGTAATATCGCTCTTGAGTGGACCGCAAACCCGAGGGAACCGGGCAAGTTGGCCAGAGATGGAGGCTCTTTGACGGCATCTTGGGACACATTGCTAGCACACATAGTAAGTAAGCCTCTTCGGAGTACTGTGTAAGCCTGTATGGCAGGTAGATAACATGCCCAAGCAAAATGAAGAAACACTACTCCGTACCCAAAGACTCGGTGACGAAGAAGACCAGGGGATAGCTGAACAATACGTCAAAAGACCAGACCTCAAACAACGCGAACAAAACCTTGCCGTACGCCTCATCGTCGTCGTACCCCTTTGCAACGTTGCCTTTCTCTCTCTGTCACAGTGGCTAAAAGCCCAAGACTCAAGGGCAGACTCTGCGGAAAGCTTCTCGAGTGTGTTTGTTTCCCCCAAGTTTCTGCCTCAAGCGAACAGACGCATCAGGGCCGTTGCGAGGACTGTGCGGCCTGTAAATCTCGTGTTTTGTAGCTCAGCTTTGCTTTGCTTTGCTATACAGTGATACCGTCCGTTGTTCCAAGGTTGTACACACACAGCACCTCAGAGAGATCCCTCTTTGCATTGGAGCCTCAGCCAAGTCCATTTCCTTTCACGGACTGCTGCGACAGCACACAAAGTGACAAAGGAAGAAGCAGCATTGGAAGCTTGTTGCCGCCCTCCCCTCTTCTGACCTTGCCCCCTGCTGTATGGTCTGTGGTCGCTCACCTCAGTTAGAGTCTCTGTGGTGGTGCTTGCTGCCCACCCGTAGATGAAGTATCTCGCATCCCAACTTGTGTGTGAAGATACCTCTGAGGCTGCTTACACCTGCACCACTCACACACCCCTCCCTGCCGCTGGCTCTCAAGTGCAAGTCCCCTGCACCCCCAAAATCCATCATTAACCCTCCCCTTCCCTCCTCTTTTTCCCTCCCGGCCGAAGTACCCGTAATTCCACACACGACCTTCGCCCTCACCAAATTCCCTCCTCTGCGTCTTCAAGCAGAAACCAGGCCTTTACGGTCCGGCACTGAAGAGGCTCGACATTCCCCAACTCGGATCCAGCGAGAGACACTTACATTCCACATTTTCGCTATATCGCAGCTTCTTCGCTTCTATCGCATCCGGCCCGACGCCTTGTTCCCTGTCTCGGAAACCTGCCTGACGGAATCCTCTCTCGGCACGACGCGCTCCAGGAGAGGCAGCTGAGACAAACCCCTCCCGCGATCACCACCGCCATCGACCACGTCAACTTCACTTCAGTCAATGTCCACCTGACGTATCACAATTACAAGATGGCAATGCTGGCCCCCAAAACCGCATTCCCGGCACCGCTGGGCTCCAGCAATCCCATGGTTTCTAGCGTTTCTACCGGTGCCGCACCGCCCTCAAGACGGGCACCCACGATCTCGAACCAGTCCACAGCCTACGCCAGCCCGACCGAATCCGAATTCTCCGAGAGCGATGGCCCCGATGCCGTCAAGAACTGGGACGAGGACAAGGTCTGCGACTATTTGAGGAGCGTCAAATGCGGCGAGTACGAGAAGCTCTTCCGTAAGAACCACATCAATGGCGAGAACCTCCTCGAGCTCGACAAGGATGTCCTCAAGGAGATGGGCATCGAAAAGGTCGGCGACCGCGTGCGACTGTTCCTGGGCATTAAGAAGTTGAGGACAAAGGCCTACGCCAACCAGAAGAAACGGAATAGGGTACGTGCAAGACCGGCTTCTCCTCTCGCGGCACCGTCATATGCCGTCAGCAATGGGTAACACAGCTGACATTTGACCACTGCAGGACTCGTTCGGTGGCCTCGACCAATTCACCCCGTCGTCGGGCGGGTCTTCTCGACCATCTGCTTCAAGTGCTCGTACCGCGCCCACGCCTTCCATGAACAAGCGCTACTCCAGACAATACGACTCCCTTCCCCTGGAGAGCGCTTCTTCCCGTCCCAACTCACCCCTTCCCGGCACGGATGCCATCCGCCCTCTGCGAACAAGATATGGCCAAAGTCCCGGCTATGTGAGTAGCGCCGGGCAATCCGTCCCCCAGACCGGCCGATTGGTAACTTCCCATACCAGGAATAACTCCAGTATGGATGGTTCACTGATGGCTGGCTTACCGCAGAATCAGGATGTTATCCGCGTCATTTCCACCGGAGGAGTCACAAAGGTCGTCAAAATCGCCGACTGCAACACGTGTGAGGAGGTCATGCGAGTCACCCTTAGGAAGTTTGCACTACGAGAGGATCATGAGAGGAACTACTGCTTCTGGGTACTGGCCGGCATTGAGCCAGACCCGAACCAGTGCCGGCGACTCGGCGATACGGAGTTGTGGCGGATTATCAAGGACCAGAAACGTCCTGAACGGAATCGCCTGATTCTTCGCCGTGTCCCTGCTGGTGAGCCAGGCATGCCCGAGCTCGAGAGAGCAGCGGGCATCGCCATTGAGGAGGCGCAGCAAAATCACAGCCGCGCCCTCGAGACTGTGGATAAGAGAAGCCAGATGAAGGTGCAAAAGCTTCTGGGTGAGAGATGGAACGATGAGCTGCAACATCCTCTTTCACCGGTCTCTTTCCACGACCGGGAGCGCAACGTGTACAATACCGCCAAGGAGCTGGAGCGCCCCGCATCCAACGACGGCCCAAGATCTGCCGGCGGACCCAGGAGGAATAAGGGCATCTTGCGGTCGTTTGGCGGGTTGCGTCCTCCCAGCGAGCTCATCGCCTCGGACCTCACATCCTACTTCCCGGATCATCCCAGAGAGGAGATTGACAGGACCGCTCGTCTGTCCATGAGAAGATCAACCCGTCTGAGCAAGGTCAACAGCCGTCTGAGTGTGGCTAGCAACCTCAGCTTCGCGTCTAGCATCCAAGATGCACCCCCTATTCCGACCATCGCTGACAGCTGGCTCCACGCCGGTAGTGCTCCCAAGGCGCGATCAGGCCTGCGGGTCACCCACTTCCGCGACTCCGTCGCCTCTTCAATGCTCGACACCTTGCAAGAGGAGTCGCCTGTCGAACCGAACCGCAAGTCCTACGTGTCATTCGCCGACAGCTCCGACGGTGCTAGTGCAGCCGCTCTCAGCGTGACGGACCCCGAAGGTAACGTTACGCGGCGAAGCTACTTCGAGACCGACGGCTCAACGGGTTCAGGTTCCCTCAAAGATCTTACGGCGGCGCTCAATGAAGACGGCGAGGACGCCGACGAGGAGCTCGAGAGCTTCCTCGCAGGAGAGTCCTGGTCTGACGACAAGTGGATGAAGGGAGCCCTCATCGGTCAAGGCTCCTTCGGTTGTGTCTACCTCGCCCTGCATGCCGTGACCGGTGAGCTTCTTGCCGTCAAGCAGGTCGAGGCGCCAGCTCCGGGCGCCAACAGCCAAAACGACGCACGCAAGAAGAGCATGATCGAGGCCCTTAAGCGGGAAATCAGTCTGCTCCGCGACCTTCGACACCCGAATATCGTTCAGTATCTGGGTTGCAGTTCGTCTACCGAGTACCTCAACATTTTCCTCGAGTACGTTCCTGGCGGTTCCGTCCAGACCATGCTCAACTCGTACGGCGCTCTTGGAGAGCCTCTTGTGCGCAGCTTTGTCCGCCAGATTTTGACTGGTCTGTCGTATTTGCACGATCGCGAGATTATCCACCGAGACATCAAGGGCGCCAACATCCTTGTGGACAACAAGGGCACTATCAAGATTTCCGATTTCGGTATCTCCAAGAAGCTTGAAGCCACCAACATCCTGTCCGGCGCGAACAACAACAAGCACCGCCCCTCCCTCCAGGGCTCCGTCTTCTGGATGGCCCCTGAGGTTGTCAAGCAGACCTCGTACACCCGCAAGGCCGACATTTGGTCGCTCGGATGCCTGGTTGTTGAGATGATGACAGGCACACATCCGTACCCCGACTGCAGTCAGCTGCAGGCCATCTTCAAGATTGGTGGCGGTAAGGCGGCTCCCACGATTCCGGAGCACGCTTCTGAAGATGCCAAGACCTTCCTTGCTCAGACCTTTGAGATGGATCACAACCTGCGGCCGAGTGCGGACGAGCTGATGCTCAGCCCTTTCCTGGCTCCCATCACATAGTCTTTGCGTTGCAACAGATACCCCCCTCTTCGATTCTTTGGGCTCTTGCCGCTACACTTGTAGCGGGATACTGTCCTTTTTGTACCTATTTTTCTTACGAAACTCAACACTTCCCCATGTCCTCGCGCCAGGACGGGGTTTATATACTGGGACGAGACAGCGGGTTGTCTCTCTTTTTGTACGTGCGAGCGGCCGCTGGAAGGACCCGACGATAAAGCATGGACATGGTTGGACTTCTCCTTGACATTCACGCATGGGCTGGCGAATGGAGAGAGGCTATAAAGATTTGGCATTTCACGGGCACCGGGGGGGCATGAAACAAGAGAGTGTATAATAATATCTCGATGAGAAATGACACTGAAGGGGAATAATGAGCCTCGGGTTACAGTACATCATACAACTTGCACATCATGTGTGACGCGGTTTGTCAATCCGTCGTGGTAGTATCAATTGACACCCTAAAAAGTCATCGGCCGAATGAGCTGATGCTCTCACGAACCTGCCCCAGCGGTATGGTCGAAGGTCCCCGCGACACTGGGCGTCATAGCAAGCATCCCATCTCGTTTGCTCGCTCACTCAGCGGGACGGGGAAGGAATTAGTAGAAGCTCGGATACATCTCGTAATCAGCCGCTGTCACCATTCATTTCCCGCCAGCCTTGGTCTGGGTATCCAAGATCGAAACAAGTAATCAGTGAAGCCCTTTTGCCCATTTTTCTTCCTCATTGGGAAGAGAGAGCGGTACCCGAGACAGGTACGTAAAGTTTGCCGTCGCCCACGTCCCCGGGTACGGATAAGCACAATCAATTCACCGATGGGCGGCGGAGATTATTCTCTATTGACTTTCACAAAGTTGTGTGAAAAATGCTCCGTACGGATACTTTTGCGACTCGTGTAGGGATAGTTGCCGTGTGTCATTTGCCTGATTTTCCAGTTTTTGTGTGCCCAAAGGGGATTTGTCCCTGGCAAAGCCATGTGCTTGGTTCCCGTTTTCTGCGCGCGGGTGTAAATTACTCGTTTCCCTATTTTTTGTGGGAGACTGGGAGTGAGGGTGAGGTGAGAGATGATGATGATTATCTTCATTATTTTAAACCTCGTTGTTCATCCTATTCCCCTCGCGCCCCCATGCTGCAGGTTTCCCCTCTCGGCGACTCTGGAAATACAGATCTGCGGGCTTGCAGGAGTGTGGAGTTTATGTTGTGAGCATGGCTTGCATGGGTTTGGTTGGTGTCTGCTGGGGGCTATTTTTGTGGTGTCTGCTGGGGGCTGTTTCTTTGCCCGGCAGCTTGCCCGGGTTTTGCTTTCCCTGCCCAGCGTTGATTTGATTATTTGAGTCTCTGCTTCGCGAAATATTCGTCCCTTTTGCCAAAGTCGTTGGAGGCTGGGAGATGGAGCCCATGAGACGTGCCTGATTAGGTGAATGCGGGAATGTAATTCTAGGTGTACGAAAGCGAAGACGAATAACTTACCATGCGGATGATCAGATTCATCTCGCGGCTCGGCCTCACGTTGAACCGCTAGCAACACCCAAAGTCTGGACCAAGCGCCTAAGAGAATAGATCAAAGTATAGAGAAAAGGCTCTAGTATCCTTTGAGCAATCTGATAAAATGAAATCTACATGCAAATGCAGGCTCCTGGGGGCTGGAGCTACTCGGGTTTCGAACTTCGAGATCGCCTTCTATCCTCCCCATTCAGGTCAGGGTGCTGGATTGCTGCTGATCATCGGGTTACGGATGTCTTGCAACACCGAGGCGGAGATGTGCCCAACTTCCAAGCTCCAAGTGCTTGTTTTTGCCTTCAGCTACCCAATGATCGTCTCTTGGAGAGCGTGATGGTCATCAAAGAAGACCAGGGATTTATTCGTAGTCGCTGCCAACAAAAACTTGTTGGAAGTCTTTGAGGGGGAGAGGGCTCGGACAGCCGTTTGTGGGCACCGCTAGATGGGTTCCCATGTCTTCTTCGCAGACGCTAGCAGCAGCAAAACGTGCTTCGGGACGTTGCGATTTCCACCGTGTATGGGGAGTGAACATGGGAACTTGGGGGCTTGAGGGGGCCATACGGCATCTTAGTTCCGAGGCTCAGAGTGAAACTCGCCGGTCATCCTTTGTCCCATTTTGCCGCCCTTTCTGTGATCCGTCATCTGCAAGTTGCGGACTCGAAGGGGGTCGCGCGGGCTGCGGCGTTGACGTGATTTACTAATGTTGGGCGCTGATTGAGGGTCAGCCGCGGAAGCCCGTCTGCTTCGTGATACGTCGTACTATCGAAACCTACTATGCGAGCCGCATTAGTTTCCTTAGGTCTCGCAGCTTTCGACAGACTGCTTTTTCAGCCTCCAAGGCGTGAAAGGCCTAGAACTTACGGACAGACGGACATCGAGTGTGAGAGACTAAGAAGTCTAGAACCACCACTCCCGCCGCCGTGGTTCAGCGAAGGAACAGACAATATCGATCGTCGAGAGAGTGAGACCAGAGGCGCGTTTTTTTTCTTGACCGGTCGAGCGAGCCGCGGCTTCCCGTGCTTTCCGTCCCTTCCCCGTGTCCGTCCTTGCCGTTAACGGAGAACGAGCTGAGACCTGCAGGAGACGGTTCTATATCGCGCCGTCCGCGGAAGAACCCGTTCGGAAGAGGGTGGGCTGCGGCCACGGGGGTTGGCAGGCACCGCGGGATGAAAATTGAGACGGACTCCTTCATTGAAACGAGATCTGCCTGTCAAATTTCCTTTGACAGTTAACCCCGACATGAGGCCCCCGTCATCCGGTGTCAGGGGTTTGCATTCTTTAGTGTCTTTGGTGCGTCTAGCTCGCTGCAGTTTACATGGCCTGCATGGGTGGTATGCAGAATGCCAGACGCTAACAGACCGCGGAGAGAGTTTGGACTATTCAGACTTGGCATCTGATAGGCATATAGGGCATGGGCACATCCGACAGGCAGCCCAACCCGTTACCCGATAGCGATAACGCGGGTGACGATAGACCTGATAGACGCGAGGCGAAACTCGAGAGGGGTGACGAACACATGCTAGGACTGGGGTTTTATGACGGCCTACAGGTGCCAAGGGCGGAGGGCAGCATTGCAGGTTTGTTGGTGAAACAGATTGCGTCGTACGGAAACTGGGTGGTGGTGGTCGGGATGGGATCTTCGAGTCGTTCGTCTTGTCATTTCTTTTGACGTGCAAAGTCTAATTTGCCTGGACCTCTGAGATTCCGTGGCGGCAACGACGGGTACTCATCCCACTCGTTCCTCAACACTATTGATGTGAAGAAAATCAGATTTCTGATTTGTTTTTGAACAAGGATAGGTGGAAAACACAATCTCTCTGCCCGGGTCCGGGGTTGCTGCTTATCACATTCTAACTTTCAGGGACTCCTTTCTTTTTCTTTCTTTTTCCTTTCGGCGTCACATTCGGACACCTCCTGCCGCGGGTTGTGGGAGAGTTTTTGGAAAGCGGTGCCGTGGAAGCGGTACGAAGTATCCGTATGCCATCAAATAGTCCTTACGGATACCAATACCACGCTCAGCTACTCCCTACACTACTGCCTTACTGTGGACTCTGCACACTTTGAGGGGTCTGACAGATGACATATAGATGCGGAGCACCGCAACGGCGTGACGGGCCAGAACTTGGCAACAGGGTGAACGGCCTTCACTCCGACCACTATTTAACTCCATCGTTTTGCATTACTAGAGGATTGCCGTAGTACATATAGACGCTACCCTGCCCTCGAATTCCGTACTATTTAACCTCAACCCTTTTTATAAATTACCTATTTTTTCCTCTATTCTACCCTCTCCCTCGTTAAGGGATCGCTAGAATCGTAATTTTAATAGCTTATTAATAAGTTAATACTACTATTTAAAAATAAGTAACCTATTTTTATATATAAATATTAAGAGTTTTATTATTATAAAAATAGTAATAAATATACTAAAGTATTTAAAAGAGCTTTTTAATAAATTTCTAATATTATTTAAAATAATTATCCTCGAGCTATAAAAAGAAGCCGAGGCGTTATATTAATACGGCCCTATTTATCTTATTAATATTAATAATAATTTTTTTAATATAAAATATATTACTAATACTCTACGGCCGCGTTATTACTTTTTATAAATCGTACTTAATATTAGTAAGGATTTTAATATTATTTCTTAGTTCGTTTCTTAATTTTTTTATTAAAGCTATTATTATAAAATTAGTTTAGTTATTAATATTTTAATAAGTATTTTAACTTAGTATATTTAAAAGCTCTTATAGCCTTTAAAAAGAGGTTTTTAAGGGACTTATAATTAGATTTTTTATTTATTATAAATAAAACTATTATAATTAAAGTTATAGTACTAGTTACGAACCTCGATAATAAGTAGTTAGTAATATAGTTATTTTTCTTTTATAATAAGCTTAAAAAAGTATTTTAATTTAAGTACTAGGTAGGTACTATACTATTTTATTAAAACTATATTCTTATACTTATGACTTAGAAAGAATTAACTTTCTTTGATAATAAGGTACTTAGGCCTTCACTCCGACCGAGAGGAACAGGAGTACCCGCTGCCTGTCAATGTCATAGGTGCGCCGGCCCGGCCGGCAGGCTCCGAAAGAGGAATGGGAAGAACTGTGGAGATTGGGGCAAGCAAAGGAAGAGACAGAGCACGGAGGACCAGGCCTGGAAACGGTCGACCTTTGGCTGTATCCGCTGCTCGTCCAGAAGCAGAAACAAAGGCCCATTCACACCAAGGACAGGAGGCGAAACGCGGAAACCTTTCTTGATTCAATCTGGTCTCGCGAGTCTACTAAACTAACCGAACGCCGGTTCGGGGATCGCCTCAACTACCGACCTTTGCCGAGGACATTCTAGGAAACGCAGGGAGAGCTTTACTTTGACTACATGCACCTCGAGTCCGCGACAGCCGTCTCATCTTCAGCAAGACTCGTTTCTGTTCGTACGGGAAAAAGAAAAACTTCACCAGAGAGGAGAGGGAGCCGGGTTACGGTATTGCGGGCGGGAGGATTTCCAATTGGGTCTCGAAGATGCAATATGTTCCCACCCGTCAAACTCCTCTCTCTCCCCTTATTCCCAGCCAGCGGGCCTGCAGGCTGCGAAGCTGCTGAAGAAAACTGAACCGCAGGAGTTCCGCAAATGCTGAAGAAACTCCTCTTCAACCCCTGCCCTTTCACCAGGGGAGGAGGGAGGTAAATCCACCACAAGCTGGCAGGGCCCCTTGCCATGCCATGAGGCCGGTGGGCTCTTGCCAATGCTTTTCCCTCGATGCCCTCGAGGCAAGTCGTCACTTGTCAGTGTCACGGCCTGGTGAAAAGGCACGTGGTCCGCGGTCTATGTGGTAGAGTTGCAATGAGTTTGCTGATTCATGTTTTGTCTCCGGTCCCCGGCAGGCAGGATTACGATCTCGACCGGGCCACGCGTGCGTCGGCAAAAAGCCGGGAATTATCTTTGCCTCTATTCATTGGGGGCCGTCCCGATTCAGACTCTTCATAATCAAAGGATAGTTCGTACTGCTGCTTTTTCCCTGACTATTACGCGAGCTTTTACGCGAAACGTCACTGGGTTACCATTTTGGTCCCCTCCCCTGGGCCCTGCTTCATATGACAAAACCTGGGTGGGCAGTATTTTTTACTCGCTCGCCGAAAAGCACGCAAGTGGTCGACATCTGCCGCGTTGCATTTGGAATGCCACTATGGCTAGCCAGGGGTAAGTGAGGCTTTGCTGCGCTGATCTTCATCCGGGGGGACCCTTGTCACAATTGCCTACTACGGTTATGGGCGTACGCACTACGCATGCTAAGGTAGGCGGCCAAGTTCCGGTAGGTTGACGCGGATTTGACGAAGCACTGAGCAAATGCAGGTTCGGTTTAAACGCGTGAGGATTGGGTCGAGTGAGGCTATTCTCGAAAGATTCAAGCATGTTTTCCCATTGGACCCGGTCTGGAGCTGTGTGTTTGCAACTCTGTTTCTTTTTTCATTTACTTGTCTCGATTTGACTTAGTCTCACGAGGCAACCCTCTTTGTTAACGATCTACAGCGTCTTCTGTCCAAGGCACGCACTCGGTCTCGCAAGAAAACTATCTAAGCCGCAATCTTCTCTTGGCCAACCTTAACAGCGAGCTCGACACCCTCGATGACGAGGTCCGGGCGGGACAGGAAGGGGGAGTGAGAGGTGTTTGCGTAGAAGGTGGTGTAGCCGGTAGGGAACTGGGCGGCCATGGCCTCCTGGGTAGCCAGAGGAATAGCCTGGTCCTGCTCAGTGTGGAAGTACATGACCTCGATGCCGTTGTTCCACGGCTCGTAGGTCGCGGGGTCAGAGAAGACACGGGCAGACTGCCAGCTCAACTCCGCAATGGCCTTGGCCTTGAGGACCGGGTTGACATCAGCGTAGAAGATGGTCTCTGGGGTATCAGCGTAGACCTTGTCACCCTGCAAGTTCAGTGTCAGCGGGAATTATCTCGATCAAGAGTCTCTTGGGGCATGTTTCTAGATATGTCGCACGCCAAGCAAGGGTATAAAACAGTGACATGAGCGATGGGGGGAGGGGGCCACTGGCACTGGGTTCCAGTGTCAAAGTGTCAAAGTGTCAAAGAAGCTTACCTCGACTCTCATCCAGGGGAGGTACTCTCCGCTGAGCATATCCAAAAGGCTGGTAGCGTTGGGGGCAGCAAAGGCGGCGAGGTAGACGAGCATGATGACGCCGCCCTTTTCGTTGTTGGCCGCGCGCTGCTTGTATCCAAGCCCCTCGATGGCGTTGCCGCCAACCATGCCGCCGTACGAGTGAACGACGACGACGACCTCCTTGCCGGCGTCGGCGAGGGTCTCAATGGTGGACCGCAGAACGGCGGCATCCTGCTCAAGACCGACGGTCGCGGGCTCCGCGCCGACGGAGGGGAGGGTGATGGCCTCGGACTCGTAGCCCTTGAGCGTCAGACCGGCGCGGACGAGGTCGAAGGACTGCGGACCGTGCCAGGCGCCCGGGGTGAAGACCACAGTGGGCAGAGTGGCGGCGGTGGCCACGAGGGCTGAGGAAAGCAGGCTGGCGATCTTTGGGAGCATGTTGATGGATTTGGGAGGAGTGGTGGTAGGGGGGCGTGTGGTGTAAGTTGCGTCAAGGGGGGGGGGGGGGGGGGGGGAACAGAAAAAACAACGGTGACAAGGGTGTAAGAGGGTTTGGGTAGGGGGGGGGGTGGGGGGTGTGGGGGGGGGGGGGGGTGGGGGGGGGGGGGGGGGGGGGGGTGGGGGGTGGGGGGGGGGGGGGGGGAGGACACAGACAACTGCCGATCAACGTGTACCAAGGTTCAAGAGTGTTTTGGTACGGATACGGGTAACCGTTGACGTGCAGAATCTTTGGTAAAATGAACGACGGGTAAGGAGTTGTGGGATGCCGGAGGCGTATTAGCGAACGATGCAATAGGATCGATCGAGTAAGAGTGGAATGCTGCACGAGAGAGTGATTGTGATGCCAACGCGCGAGGAACCGAGGGGATCGTAGGAAAGCCGAGGGGAAGGAAGAGATGAACATGCCATTTTATCCTCGTTCAATATCCGTACGGATACCTCTCTGACTCTCTATCTTGTTACTCTGCTGACAGCTCCGGGTGCTCCCATGAACCTCGTCTTTGCCTCAATCTCATAGAATTCATTATGCCCATGTCGATATCAGAGAAAGGAATTAGTGTCGCAACTGTCGCCCCCCTCAACGGTGTCCCCCTTTTCCGAAAGAGGTCGTCAAGACCGGAGGATAGCGACTGTATTGAGGTGGTGTTGATGGGGCGAGCTGAGGTTACATCAGCAATGGGGCACATTTGTCTGAACTCCCGTGATGAGCCTGGCTGCGATCAGACGTCGCGCTCGGAGCACAGGGTCGCGACGGGGACCACTTCTACGTAGTACTGGGTAGGGGACAAGGGCACAAGAGGTAGCAGGGCCTCGAGGTGGACGTTATATCGATGCGGATTTTGGATCCCCAGTACGACGTTGGCCCCCTTCGACAGGCGTCGAGGGGACCCTCCCCTCCCCGTTGAAGCCTCCAGTCTTGACAGGCCGGCATGTTGTCGCCCCTCATATGCCGAGTCAGTCGAATCTCACCACGTTTTTCTACACCGGGCAGGGTATCAATGGCAGAGCGTATAAGGACTATAGGCTTGCGCATCCCGGATATCCAGGAAAGAAAAGGCTCCATTTTGTTCTTGTCCTAGCCCTTCTTTTTCTCTCATTTTCCCTTTGATATCCCCGTACCCGAAAAATTTCGGGAAGCAGCAAAGAGATACCGAAAAACTGGCGTGTTTCTTGCATTGCATTCTTCTTCGTTGACTCGTTGGTTGTTGTGTCCACGATACTGACTCAAAATCTATTGGATTCTGGACGGAGGAGTACTGGTCTCGGAGATTTCACGCCCCCATCTTTTCCCTTCTTCAGCCTCCATGGCCGACACATCGGCTCTGACAGACCCTCTGGCGGACAGAGGGCCTGAACTGAGTGGCACCACGACAGCATTGCTCGTTCTCGCAACCGTTTTTGTCGGTCTCCGGTTCTGGGCGCGGTGGACTGTTGGCTTTCACTATGGCCTCGATGACTGGTTCATGGTAGTAGGCCTGATTGTCACCTTTATGGCCGGAGCCCTCAACTATGCCAGTAAGCATCAGACAGGACGATGGTTTGAAGTGAGGGCATCATGAAAACTGACCACGAGTATAGTGATTGCACAAGGCCTCGGCCGCCACGCCGCAACATTATCACAAGACACGCTGATACAGTTCCTCAAGCTGCTACTGGCATTTGAGTGTGTATACGTGACGGCGGTCATGTTCATCAAGATCTCGCTGCTGCTCATGTACCGCCGCATCTTCCCCGGCCGCGGCTTCAAGATCGCGGCCATGGTCCTCGGCCTCCTCACCATCGGCTGGTGGCTCGCCATTGTCTTTGTGTGTGTCTTCCAGTGCACACCCGTGGCCAAGGCCTACATGCCCTGGATCGAAGGTACCTGCATCGACCTTAAGGCGTCCTTCATTGGCAACGCCATCCCCAATATCTTGACCGACGTAGCCATCTTGTGCTTGCCCATCGGCCAGGTGTGGAAGCTACAGGTGACGCTGGCTCAGCGCTTGTCCTTGTGCTTCATGTTCCTGCTGGGAGGATTGTAAGTGATGCCAAGCTCAGAGGCAATCGTATTAGTGCTGACATCAACATAGCGTTCTCTTTGCCAGCATCTACCGCTTCACAACAATTATGCAGTTTGAGCTTACAGACACGACATGTAAGGCTCACCCAGCCTGCCGCTTCTGGTCATCCGCTGACAGTATATCTAGGGACGCTCGCCACTGCGTGTACATGGTGCGTCGTCGAATGCGCATGCGGTGTTATCAGCGCTTGCCTGCCCACATTACGCCCCCTCATGGTCAAAGTCTCGTCACAGTTCGGCAGCATCGCGACAAAATACAACCTCTCTGGGGGCCAGAGCGATGGGCGCTCCAAGGCTGGAAGCCGGGGACCAACGGAACTCATGACGATCGGGGGAACGGGAGGGAAGTCGGCCGACAGAGGGTTCAAGCGCTTGGGAACCGAAGACGGAAAGTACGGCATCACGACGAACATCTCAACCCGATCCGCAGGAGCAGGAGGAGCGACGACTAAGCCCTCGGATGATTCTGACTCGGGATCGTGCGACGACTTGTCCCTGAAGGGCGGAATACGGATCAAAGTGGACCAGGAGGTCCGTTGGGGCGAGGAGAGCCGGGCTCGTCAGGACTCGACGGCATCGACAAAGTACGAGTCCTCATCACGGAGCGGATCCTCGCATCTGGCCTCAAACCGAGTCTGAAAATGGGTCTTGACGACTGCATAATGAGAAGCGTTCACTTTGTCATATCATAACTGAGCATAATAGAAACCTAATACAGAAGAGCGATGTCAGCTTCAACAAATAAACCGCCCGCCAAAATCAGACTACCTTGGACTTGACTCTGCACCGGAAATCTAGGCCCTCGAAGTACCTTGCCGTCGCAGCGTCTTAGATTCATCCAGCTAGGCATCGACCTCTCGCGTTCCATACTCGAACATGGCATTCGACTCCACCGCGCTCTCGTCAACGAGCTTATGCGCCGACTCTACGCCGGCGACAGGCAGCTTGAATTCGAATTTCTTTCCGGACGCCGGGCCGCTACCGTTGATGTGGTAGGGGAACGGCAGGAACTCGGGCAGGAGGCCAAGTTGGCGCAGCGCGGTAGCCTGGTCCCAGGCGATGTGCTCGTGGTGAAGATGGTCACCTCGTACGTTGACGACACTCGTGAAGGGAATGGAGAGATGCTTTCCAGTTGGCGGAACACCAGGGAGCCTGCGTTCGTGGTCAGAAGTACGCTCTTCGCGTGTCTCGTGCTGAGAGGCACTTACAGCCAGTCAATGACCCTGTTATGGGTACACTTGAAGACGAACTCATCGATAACTCTGTCAATGCCTACAGTGCGGCTGACCAGCTCAAGCTCAGTGTCATCGGGGTTGTTGAAGATGAAGTGGTCTCTGTAGAAGCTGGTCAGGTATTGACGGCCTACGCCGCCGGTGAGCGTCGGGATGTGGTTGACCTGCGCTTGTGTTAGCCAACCTTGCCCTTGAGAGCTGCCTCCCGACAAAACTTACATAGGGCTGCTCGACCATGGTGGCCATGGTCTTTTCGACATTGCGCTCGCCAAACTCGAAGAGAGTGTGTTCTTCCCAGACGGCCTCGAGATCGAAGTACGGCCCGCCGAGGAGGGGTTTCAGGAACGTCAGTGTGCGGGTGTGCGCGAGCCCTGCGGCATTGGCGTTGAAGTTGGGATGGCTAGGGACGACGAAGAAGTCACTTGCTCCGGGGTAGGAGTGAGTCTTTGCCGTAGGAGTTGGCTTGGGACTGTCTGTCACGGTTTTGGGGAGATGCGAAAGAGTGGGAATTGTAAGTGCTTGGCCAAAGTTATAGAACACAGCCGCCTTGATCTCGGAACGGCTCTCTAGGGCATCCACGAGTTGCGAAGAGGGCGCACTAATGAGAGCTGATGAGATTTGTTAGTTTTGGGTTTCCAATGCGCAAAGGCGTACTTACAAATGACGCCAAACTTGTCCTTGTCGTCACAAGTGTCGAGCTCTCTGAGACTTTTGATGGCCGAGGTAACCTGACCAGCAACGTCCGCGGCTCCGGGTGCAACAACTATCTGCGCAACGGCGTATCCTTCCTCTGCCCATTTCTGCGATGGAGGCGGGTCCAGGATCTTGTCGTGTTTGGATAGGTTGATGCCCTCTTCAACTACGATGATGAGCCCAGGCCCGTGGCCACGGCGGGACAGCGGTTGTTGAATTGTCACGGCGCTCATCTTTTCCTAGTTGTGTTGTCGCGCTTTGAGGTAGAAACTCTGCTCAACGAGTTGGGGATCCTTTTTGTAATGTGCGACTTCGCAATTGGCACCAATGGAACGGCATCGACTTTGATGACCAGTTGAACAGGTTTCAATGGTAAGGTGAGATCAGTTGCGCCTCCACTTGGTGCAACCCCCGCTCGAGATATCGGCCGATTCCTCCCAACTCCATTCCCAGATAAGGCAGTCAGCCGGGTTGACAAGCCCTCTGTAACAACCTCGGCCAATCGCGACTGTTCCTCGAGAGTTGCGTCTTCCAATGCCATGTTGCAATTGCGGCGGTTTAGGAAAGACTCCGTTGACAGTCCTTGGCGGTAAGTAATCATGTTTGTCTAACCTCAGCATGGAATCGTATTTAGGGATACCTGGTTGCCCGAGTACGCCGTTATCTGGGACGAGAGAAGAGACCAATTGAGTTTAGAGATGGAATATCCAAAGATACAAAGTCCCCATTGAGCCTGTAACTCCAACGCACAGAGAGGACTTTTCCCTAAGTTGCAAAGCGACATAGAAGATGTTGGTAAGGTGTCTTTTTATCTTGGCCAAACACAACTGGTTATGCGCACAACACATACTCAACTCAATCGCGCTTAAAACATCAACAAGCCCACCAAACTGCATTTCTTTGTTCCATTGCGATGAAACCAGGTCTCATTCAATTGCACGGCCCAAAGCTAAGCGCGTCAGGTTCGCTATTGGCACCTTGAAAGATGACGAAAGAAGCAATTGGTGCAGAATGCAAGGGACGAGCCAATGCAGGGGCGCAGGGGCCGCAGATAACCCAAGGGCGGATCAAGGGCATTTCAAGGGATCTGCCGAGTACTGTGTAACGCCGGGCGGTAGTCGTCCAGAAGCGAGAGAAGAAAAGACTGCGATAACGTGTAATCACCTCTCCGTCCGTTCTCAACCATGAGGAGAACTGAGGCAATCTTTATTCAGAGCAACTCTCCAGCCTGATGAAATAAGTCGAAGGTGACGCTCGATGACCATCCTGGCTGCCCCCGTCCACAATGACGTGCCGCGCCGGAAGCGTGGGGAGTCCCGTTGCCGCGTTCATCACAGATTTTCCCCGTCCCCCTGTGGGAACTGCCCGATCTTTGGTCCCTGCAGTGTGCGTGGACTGTGGACTGCCTTACGAGTCCAGACACCCGGAACCGCATGTGGGAGGCGTACGGCGGGCGATGAATGGTCGACGGTGGTGTCCCATGTCCACACAAGTCGTCCTGCATCTCATCTCAGATCCATCCCTCGGACCACCGCATCCAGAGCCTCAGCTTTGATATGCTCAGACACTCTACCCCAGACAGAACTGCCAGAATATTCTCGTCTAATCGTACAGGCTAGTTGTCGTTCGTTCGCCATGACAGTTGTTACTGAAGACTGACATGAAGGAAACTTGGACCACCCGCCAGCCAAGGCGATGGCGGATAGTATTTCAAAGTCTTGAAACTCTAAAAATCAGGTCCCGACTATGAAAGCTGGCCTGAAGCTGCTCCAATACCCTCCGTGCCGCGTGCCCTTCATTCTAGCCCCTCCCTCCCTGGCCATAGTCGGCGACGCCACGCCACACTATACAGACTACCCAAGATGTCAGACACAGCTCCCTGGCGTCCATTTTGAGACTTGGGCCCCTTGCTCAGCTTCTTACTTGTCTCCGACGTAAGTTCAACTCTTTCCCACCTCCAAACCTCGCCGGCCGTGCTCTGTATTACTCTTCCTTGCTCATCGTCATTGTCAATTCGCTCTGATGCAGTGATTCACGATCCTTGGTCCAGCAAAGATAATCATCGCTCACAGCTGGTTCTGGTCCTAAGTTGCGCGCATCGATCGCATTGCACACATCTTTGAAAAGTCGCCGACTCCGAGCCGCAGCATCCATCGACGGCATTCGCCATGTCGACGGCTCCAGTGAATAGGCAGACCTTCATTGGTCTGCTCATCTTTCTCTTCTTCCTGTGGACGCTCTCGACCTTTACCCAGACAACGTCGACAACGCCTACACACGTTGTGAGTCTTGAGCCACTGCCTGGTCTCTCTCCCAGCTCTCTGGACTAACTCTCGATCCCCCAGACACACGACCAGCAGTCTGCCAATCCTGTAGGCCATCCGCAGTACCCGAACAGCAATAGCAATGCCGCGGATAAGCAGAAGCCCGACAAGTCCTCGAAGCCGTCCCACGATGTTTCAAAACCAGATAAGTCGCCAGAGTACTCCCTCCCGCCATGGTACGAGGACGACGAAGACAAGGCAGACAAGGCTGCTTCACAAACGACTGCCAAGGGAGCGAAGGAGACCGCAAGCGCAGCCTCTAACAAGGGCGCGAGCAAGAGCTCGTCTGCCTCTACGTCTCTGAAGTCGCATTCGTCTTCAACCACGTCGAAAGAATCGTCCGGCTCCAAGGACCGCAGCCGCCCCCTGATCCTCTACGCCTATGCCGAGTCCGACGCCGGCCGCGAGAACCTCCAATTCTTCGTTAAGCAGGGCCTGCACGACGCTGCCGACTTCATCTTCATTCTCAATGGCGAGACCAACGTCAGCAGTATCATCCCCGAAAAGGACAACATCAAGATTGTTGCTCGGGATAACACCTGCTTCGACCTTGGCGCGTACGGCGAGGTGCTCAGGAAGGGAGATCTCTACAAGAAGTACAAGCGATTCATCACCATGAACGCTAGTATCCGCGGTCCCTTCCTGCCTCACTGGGCGCAGTCGTGCTGGACTGACATGTACCTGGACCGCCTCACGGATGAAGTCAAGGTAAGACGACGACGATGTTCCGCAAGTCTAGTGACTGCTGCTAATATGGGTTGCTAGCTGGTCGGCATGACGGCAAACTGCTGGCCCCGATTCCACGTCCAGTCCATGATCTGGGCCACCGACAGCGTAGGCATCGATCTGCTCCTCAATCCCCCTCCGGGCTCCTCTGTCAAGGATGACTTCGGCACCGAGAACGACCCTGTCGGCCTGGGAGGCTGCTACGACGGCTGGAACCACGCCGTGCATGCAGAGATTGGTGCTACGGGCACCTTCTTGAAGCAAGGTTACAAGGTGGACCTGATGATGACGGCGTTCCAAAAGTCCAAGAATTACATTGAGGAGTGCGACACGTCGCAGAATGGTGATGTTCTTTGGAACGGCAAGTACTTTGGCACCAACGTGCACCCGTACGAGACCATCTTCATCAAGGCCAACCGCGACATTGACCCGACTTTGATTGAGCACTTGACGACCTGGCACCAAGCGTCCGGCTTTGACAGCTATGCCGCTTGCAAGTCGAGCTAGTAGTGGTTGAGTCATGTTTTGGATGTAGTGTTGGGCGCTCGGCGTTGACCATTTCTTCCATGTTTTGGAAATAAAAAGGATGAATGTGCACAATAGGCGCATGTGTCTGTCGAAAGAGCATAGTTGAAAACGAATGCATATTGAATATCACTTCAAACAATGACCTCAGTCAAAATTGAGCGGCATCGTGTTTCTGACTACTAATTGTAGCTCCAGGCTGCTCCAATATGGCTGACTTGCCTCCGTAACCTTCGCTGATCTTAGAAACCTGCTATCGCGTTGTCCGCTTCGACCAACAGCTACCGTTTCTTCTTGGCAACTTACAGACTATCATCAATTTGAGTTTGAAATCCCATCTATATGGGTACAGTGAGGCTGCCAAATTGGATCTCAGTCGGATATCGCTACGCAAACCCGCGGAACGCGCGGTGAACGTTCTTTGCTGAGATACATAAAGTCTCAGGATAGCTTTCGTCGCAGGTGAAGGACATATCTCACCAGAGTCTTGCTAGCACACTTATCGAAAGGTGTCTCTTAACTTCAGTCTGCCTCGACTATACATCTGCCTAGCCCTTCTTGAGCCAGCCCATCGAATCTGGAAACTACCATGATGCGACACTCAACGACATTGCTCGTCTCAGCACTCGCAGCAGCAGCAATAGCAAAGGACTGCGCCTACTTCTGGTCCTACCCGAGCGGCACGTGGGACAAGTGGGCAATGGGCCGTCTCGACGAGGCCATGGGCATCTGCGCCGAGGACATAGGCGGCCGGGTGTACTACCCCGATCAGAACGTACAGAATGGCAATAACCCCGCGAACCGGTGTACTATCTGCCGCGACGCGAGAAGCAGTACCAAGGACTATGATATCGATAATGGCTACTTTCGTATCCGGTGCGGCACGTATGCTGAGGGAAGTTGCGGGGCATAGAGATCTGAAAGGTGAGTTGCCACAGAAGATGTCACAAGTATCGTTGTTAAGTATCCTCGCTTAGTAAAGAGCTTTCAAAAAATAGTCGGTGATTTTGAATGTTGATTGAAGGCACATTGAGATGAGAGATGAAACTGAAGGTGACTGAAGGTCTACTCTCGCAATGTCACATTACGTACCTAACTAGGTTGGACATTCGTTCGGGCGATTTGAGGACACCACAATCGTAAGATTGAATTAGATACACAGCAGACCAGCGGTTTCTCATGCAATTTTTCAACTTGATAGATTTCCTGCTATGTCCGATATGACTCGGGAATCATGAATGTATTCCAAGAAGTCACCGTTATTTCGTATGAGAGATGAGTTCGTAAAAGCAACATGGCTGCGTAAGTGAGCTCACGCTACACATCCCATACCCAATGTAGTATCCACCTTAAACCATTGAGACCCCAGAACCCTCCCAATTCACCTCACAGCCCGTCTTCGTTCGATACTAAGCTCCTCTTGCATTGTACACCTTCCCAACTTGCCCACAGAACCGCTCCTGTGCCGTCTTGAATCTCTTGCAATCCTCAATTCAGCACATACGACCATACCCATTGGAAAACTCGGGATCCCGTCCGCTCTCCCATAGATAAGCCAATGAGGGCCGGATTAGTAGTTGGGTCGGTGACGACCAGCGAATACCTGGTGTTGTATGTGTTTTGGGAATTTTGGTGGATTCACGATGTTTTTTGTGGTGGATATAAGTCGAGTTTTGTCGTTTGTGAGACTGACCAAAAAAAGAGCAGTGCGGTTGCTGACTGTACACTTGCAGCTGCATGATGACTAAGAACCTACGTGCCTTACATTGCAGTCTGCAGGTGCCAGGCAGCCCTTTAAGAAACCCCTGTCGACCACCCGAGAGCTTGAACTTTGTATCTTGAGAGCATGGCCGGTAGCCGGAGCTAAACCCTATTAAGGAGGTCCATCGAACTTGGCCCCCGGGCTAGGCCGGCCGTCTCACTTTCGATCCTCCCCAATGGTCGCCAAGAGCCTGTCAGCAACCCGTCGTAAAGCCTGATGAGGCAATGGGGGCAATTGGGGGACCCAGCGACCATCTCCAGGCAGCCGTCAATTTCCCTGCCGTCATCCTGCTTGCCCGTGCGGCTGTCGAGGTTGAGCGACGACTTTCGATGCAGGAACCAGGGTTTCTCGAGGTCGCCAATCGGTCCGGATTGGATGGATTGGATGGATTGGACGAACACCCGCAGCTCGATGCCGTCAACCCTTGCGTTCTCTGGAAATAGACTTGAAAGACTTCAGCTATTTGTCGAAGCGATGCCGATGCGTAGAAGGACCAGGGGGCCTTTTCGTGAGGAGAGCTACGAAATAAACTAGAGCTATTCAGCCCTCACGATCGACATTTGCATTAGCGTCCAGGCCCCAAGAAAAGAGCTGGTGCTACGGCATCGGGTGCTGCGCCCCTGGGATAATCTCGTTTTCCTTCCTCCTTATTCCATTGGCGAATCCTGGGGTTTACCGTTGCGGCCCGCAAGACTTGGGGAAGGCATCAAAAGCTTGTTAAGACCGCCGGTCTTCCCACACATCTTTGTCTCTGTCTCTACATCCCTCTCATCGCAAGCCTGACAATCCACCAAACATTGTCAACATGGTCCGTCTCAGTCTTTTGGCACTCGCTGCCACCACGCAGCTCGCCCACGCATGGCTGCCCAACGACGGCAGCAGGAAGCTCTTGGACACCCGCGGCTTCAGCCTCTTTGACAACCAAAACACCACATCCGATGACTCTGACGGCGTGAGCAAGCGCTGGTGGACGGCTTCCGGCAAGATCAGGGGCGTCAACCTGGGCTCCCTGTTCGTCTTTGAGCCATGGATCGCCAACAACGAGTGGAACAACATGGGCTGCGGTGGACAGCAGTCCGAGTTCGACTGCGTCATGAACACAGGCCAGGAGAGATCTGATGCCGCGTTCCAGAAGCACTGGGATACGTGGATCACCGAGGGTGACTTGGATGAGATGATGTCCTATGGTATCAACACCATCCGTATTCCCGTAGGATACTGGTTGGATGAGTCGTTGGTTGACCAGAATTCTGAGCACTTCCCAAGGGTTTGTCCTCTTACGATCTATGGTGTGACTATGACTGACCGGATGTAGGGAGCTGTCAAGTACTTGATCCGGCTCTGCGGCTGGGCTAGTGACCGCGGATTCTACATCATCCTGGAGTATGTTCATTCACCCCATGAGACGCTTCCGAAGACTAACAACAAGAAGCCAACACGGTGCCCCGGGTGCTCAAGTGGCGAAGAACTCGTTCACTGGTCAAGTAATACACCCTTCCTAGACTTACAACCGTCGTCTAACCGCATCCAGTTCGCCAACACCCCTGGCTTCTACAATGACTACCAATACGGCCGGGCTGTCAAGTTCCTCGAGTTCCTGAGGAGGCTTGCCCACGACAACAAGGAGCTTCGCAACGTTGGTACGATCGAACTCGTCAACGAGCCCACCAACTGGGACTCTTCCGTGCAGTCTCTCCGCAGCACATTCTACAAGAACGGCTACAATGTTGGTCACCAAAGTCTACACTTCGTCCACCTCACTAACACCCTCAGGCCATCCGCAACGTCGAAAAGAGCCTCGGCGTCAGCGCCAACAACTACTTCCACATCCAGATGATGTCCTCGCTCTGGGGCTCCGGCAACCCGACCGAGTTTCTCGACGACACCTACTTCACCGCGTTTGACGACCACCGCTACCTGAAGTGGGCCAACAAGAACGACGTGCCTTGGACGCACGACAGCTACATCTCGACGTCGTGCAACGACAACCGCAATGGCGACGCCTCGGGTCCGACGATTGTCGGTGAGTGGAGCATCAGCCCGCCCGACGAGATTGAGAACTCGGACGACTGGAACCGCGACACGCAAAAGGACTTTTACAAGAAGTGGTTCGCTGCGCAAGTCCACGCCTACGAGAAGAACACCGCCGGCTGGGTGTTTTGGACGTGGAAGGCCCAGCTTGGTGATTACCGGTGGTCCTACAGAGGTGAGTTCCCTTTATGGTGATTGATGATGTGTATGCTAACGAGGATGTAGACGGTGTTATTGCCGGAGTCATTCCCAGGGACCTGAACTCGATTGCCAGCTCGGGCGTCTGCGGTTAGAGGGTATCTCTGACTACATAGACGAGAAACGGAAGATTTGACGCATTGCGCATTCTCATTGTAGATATTTCCATACATAAGCATTTGAACGTGTAAATGACCCTCCTGACCCAACCTCGTATCGGAGTTCCACTGCATCTTGTCACAAAAGCAACGTAACCTGCACGAACCCGCACAGCACACCCCATCATCGGCCCTTTCGGCATGCATGATTCCCTAACCAGGACGGCGGCGTTGGTGTCTCGTCCGCATCCAGTAAGGCCTCAACCCCCGCTAGTCTCCAGTCAGCAAACGGCCTCGAGATCAACCTTGCCGGCGTGCAGGATCAATGACAAAATGCCATCTACATGGGAAGATCATGCAGTGGAAGTCCATATTCTCCGGTCTGGGGTATGCTGATCGTGTCAAGCTGGAAGCGGCCTTTTTCTCGTATCTTTTGACTTTCATCGCGACTATTTTCTCACCACCAAGTCACCCAAGTCAAAGAGTGAGCCAAGATGCCTAACCGGCCCGCCGGCACGTCCGCGTTGGTTCCAACGTCATGTCTCACTTACACATGGGATTCAGCTCTGCCCTTACTAATCCCTCGCATGACTCTTAGGACTCGGTACAAGTTTGTGATCAAAGACATCAAAGTCTGAAGCGGATTTCCGCAATGTCTCGCATCACCATATTGAAAACACCCTGATATTACAAGGTTGCATCTGACATTTCAGCCTCGAAAAGCCCAACCCGTACCACCGTCATCTATGACGTGCGTGTGGCGTCGTTCCGTCCCGCCTTGGGGAGCGCCATTTTTGAACTCAATTCCCACGATGCAGGAAACGTGGGGTTCTTGTGAAGCTTCTTTTTCTGGGCAAATATCTTGCTTCCCTTCGAGCCCTGCCGTCCATGGTTCTAGACCACGTGTGCTCCTCTTTTCAGTTCATTAACTTCAGATTGACCCACGGCCGGAAACTTGGAAATCCGAACCCGCGTAAAGTTTGCGTGGCTTGGTGTGGGGTATCCTGCGCCGGGAAACTCAAGCGTCAGCATCATCAGTTCTGTGGACTGCTTGGTATCGCTGTTCTGATAATGTGAGCAGTCACTGCCGGGGCGGAGTACACGGAGGGCTGACTGGAGTGACAGACCCGGTGCAACCCTGTGAACAAACACAAGGACGATCAGAATCAGACGAAGCAGCTGTTTCCCCAGATTTCTCGCTTCACCGAGGACAGGAGCATCCTCCCTTACTGGCTCGTTTGCGCTAGCTCCGTGCCCATCAACGGAGCCGAATTGTGGGCGGTGATCGACACCACGTTACCAGTGCTCCTTTGAGACTTCCTAGTTTGCTAGTTTGCGTCCATGTCACCCTGGAAAGTGACACCAACTTTTCGATGCGGCTAAGGACCTCGTGTATGTTTAGCGGGGTTCCGCCTTCCCCCGACCGCCTCTTTTTTTTTTCTCCCCTCCCGCCAGATCCTTCCGACATGATCATCCGTCATATGGAAAGAATGAGGGACAGCAGGGTTTCTCCGGGAAAGAAGGCTGGCTGAACCGGAAGCAGCAAGAAGGGTCGTCAGAGTTGTCTCTCTTAATATAAACCGCGCCACCCCGCTCTTCTACAACCTCATCTCATCCGTCCTTGGTTAGATCCCGCATCACCAAACGTCGTATCCAAACCTCAAGGTGCCCAACATCGTTTCTCAAATCTTTCAAGGTACGTGAATAGTCTCCGACAATCACTGTCCCCTACTTCCCTTGCATTGGCCCATGAATTAGACCGGAGACGAATGTACTGACGCCTTCTATCAGCTGAGGTATAAAGACAGGGCTCGTCTCGTCTTCATCAGCATCATCATCAGCATCAGCAACTACTACTTCTTCACCATCAAAATCATCATCACCTTACCAACCATCAACATGAAGGCCACCTACGCCATCGCCCTTCTGGGTGCCACTTTGGCCTCTGCCCAGTTCACCAACCAGACCAGACCCTTCTGGCTCAAGTTCACTCCCTGCACCGGCGGCTCCGGCGAGACCTACCTCGCCTCGTGCCACTCCGGCGCCGGTCAAGCTGGTCTCTGCCCCGAGACCACGGAGCCCGTCCAGGAAGCCAACCGCCCCACGACCCACACAAACTACTTCCTCAACGAGACCCAGTCTGACTACAATGGCCACCTCCTCGGCGCCCTGACCTGGAACCAGCCCATCGGCAACGGCGACCCAGTCTCCTCCGGCATGATGCTCAACCTGCAAATCGTTAGCAACGGTGCCATCCCCATCTTCTCCCCCGGCAATACCGCCCTCTTCACCCTCGGCTTTGACGAGAACGAGAAGCTCTTCATCTACTCCCGCGCGGACGACTCAAAGGCCGTTGCTGGCTCGCAAGCTCCCTATGGCGACGAGGCGTACTATCGCTGGCACGTCTGCTACACCTTTGTCGGCAATTACTACTACCGCTCACTCGTCTGGATCACCGCCGGCCCGGCTTCCAACCCTACCTGCGAGGCTGTTGATGTGTACCGCGAGTGGGCTTAAGGCATGCATGAAAGGAACCCACCGGTCTACGGCTACGGCTGTGCCAAGAAGCTCGGAGCTCATGACCGGTTCCGCAACAACTACACGATAGCAACTTTGGCATTGTCTTTGGTCTGAGTCCCGACACGACTGACGATGGTGGTCTACCTCCTGGTTGATGGAGTATAACAAAAGTTTCAATAGCTAATCCTAATAAACTCTACGTCACAAAGACCGGATAGTGCTTCTACCTCATTGTGATATGTTGTCGGTTGATACTAACGTGGCTGTAAAACCATGTTGCTTCATTGGGACGAACAAGACTGGGGCACAATGCCGGTATTTACGTACCTTATTTTTGTCAGATGTGGATTTGGTACCGTGTGGTTTCCCTTGAATGCTTGATGCTCTTCAGGACGACTTCGAAGGCCGTTAAAGCTGGACAAACCCAATGACCTTATCAGGATGAACATGATAGCACTCGTCTTAATAAGCTCCCGGGAGCCTCTGTTACCAGACCATTCATCTGATCTACTCCCAGGATCCCTGACAGGGTGGATGGCTTTCAAGGGTCTCATGCAAGGACATCCCTGTCGCACCGGCGATTTCTTACATGGCACTTACACAGTACCCGGACTTTGGTTGCTCCGCATAGTCACCAACCAGAGGACTAGACTAGACCAAAGCACAGCCTGCTGGAATTGCTCTCTAGTCACTTGAAGGATTTGATGTCAAAGTTTGGAGATACATGGATTCATCAATTCAGTAGCCTCGTGACTATGGACACCATCCGCTCAACGCTTGGAAGAAACAGGACACCAGTGAACCTCGGACAACATGGGTAGACCGCTCGCTAAGTGTGCAGCAAAACGTGGGATGAACGGCTAGTGTATGGTGTAAGACGCCCATATGTGTAACAGCCTTCAGGTCGAAATAAGCATGGACGCGAGAGCCCCTAGCATTGAGTTAGCTTGACGACGATTTTTATATAGACTGCGTGATCATGTGTTGAACGTTGGGCCATGTAGGGACTCTCTTACTAGTAGGACCCATAGAGGTCATGGTTCGCGGGATAGCACACCATGTTTGGGTTATCCAACATCATGTGGGCAACTTCAAAAGTCGGCGGAACTAGAACCACGCAACCACAGCTATCCTTGTGGCGCTTGATGTTCCACGGGTGATTGGGAAAAGATTTCCCGCATGACATCTCAACAGCCTGGCTGTGGTTGGCCTTGATGTGTCTGTTGAGGTTGGAGTGATTCGCATAGGTTCTGTTACAGCCGGGTGCTTCGCAACGCGCCTTTGCTTCGGTCCCTACGACAGGCATCGCGATGTTGGTGTTGTTGATAGAATGCGCCCAAAAGATGAGGTCTAGTGGTTATTGATACCACATCAGGAGTAAGATAGGATAGTAGCTCAGCGTGTCTGCTCCGCTTGTTAAGAAAATGCCGATGACCAACATCTTTGCCCTTGGCTATATAATCGCCCAAATGAGGAGCGCAGAACCCTCCAGTCTAGAATTACTTATTTCAGCTGTTGGCGGAGAGCATGGCAGAGATGCTTAGCTCATGTCGTTTACCACACGTTGTTCCTCATGGGTCTAAGTATACAAAGTAGAAGATCATGGCCGCTGAAACCAGGAGCGGTCGGATGAGACTTTCAGATTGTTACTACATGAGTGAAACACAGAATGAGTGGTTGACGTGGGCGTTCCCACGGCAGTAGGTGTGGTACGCCTTGTCGCTACTGGTCGCCCGTTGAAGACAGCCTCATGAGATATTTTCCCCTGCAAGCTACCCCTGCCAGCCTGCTGCAGGGTCGGTCTATTTGATGTCGGCAACTCCAGCAATCCTCACACCATCATTCAACTTGTTGTGGCAGGGCTTATTTGGGCTCCTCAATTCGCATTCCTGCGTAATCATGATAAGTTGCCCCTTTAGCCATGAGTCCCATGACCCTGCAATCCAGGTATCTCACCGAGATCTTGATTACGTCACGACGCGCTGAGGCGTCTTTGCTCCGTAGAAACGTGGGACTGTCACCGCCTCTCGAAAACAGCAGCACAGCGAAAGACGCAGCCCTCCGCTACACCTGACCATGTTGATTAGCTGCGCTGGGAAAAGTTGTGATGATTCTACAGCACAGCCGAAATCACTGGACTCCAATGTGTTATTGCGATCTTCATATCCTTGCTGATAGGTGTTATGAGTGTACCAACTACAACTTCGAGATTCATTGAACACCTCCTGGAGTCTGTACCATCTCTGACTCCATCACTCTAGGAGATCCCTGAACCGAGGTTGATTGACATTGGATGTCGAGAGACAAAACGTTCAATCGCAGCTCCCTCATAGTGTATGTGGTAGACCCTGGCACGGCTACATGATCCCTGCTCTCTGCGATCATCGACCCTCCCCCATGTCTGCGTTTTGGTGCTAATTGACTTCTTTCAGATTGTTCGGACAATGCAGCTGACTCTGTCATCAACTGACATGGCTTGCCTCTTGCTGTACATAATTGCCTACTACGAACCCCGTTTTCACTCTCAAATAGGCATCCCAGAGAACGGAGACGGCAAGACGTGTAGTCAAGAATGCGAGAATGGCCTATAAGTAACCCCAGGAAGCGTCTTTCGAAACAACAGTGCATTCTACTTGGCAAATATCGTAAAGGGTTTCTATTCCTTCGTGATTATACGGTCCTTTCGGTTGTTCGTGCGATCGTATTGTCGCATCCGAAGGTCTCTATAGTCGGTAGATCTGGCAAATCATCGAAGTACCAAGAATCAGTGAAGAACCGAAACTACTGCGGCCATGAAACCATCTGTACGGAGTAGAAGCCACTGGTTGATGACGATCCGTCCCCTTGATCCTAGTCCACATGTGGCCTCAGGGATCCCCTGTTGGAGGACACTAGCGCGAAGCCCACCTCCCGTCCTGTCTTCGAGAACCTCTATTTTTGGGTTCTTCCCCTTCAACAACTTGCCTCGCTGGACCGAGAATGATGGGTTCCACTGCTGCAGCAGCACAACTTCAAGAGATTCTAGGTTACCCAAAACTTTTTTTTCCCCTTTTTTTCTTTTTCTTTTTTCTCTTTTTCTTTTTTAGGGCTTCTTAGACCCGTCCAAACAGAGAGAGAGCAAGTTGAACTTTCATTGATCCGTTTGGCAGCATGTCGCGCTTATGCGAATCGAATGGGAGATAGTTCGTCACACGCAACTGTACCAAGGCAATCTGGGGGCAATTTTTTTTTCATTCTCTATAACGCGCTTCTGTAAATCAAAGACTCCTGCAACAAATTGATATATCAAGCAAAACGTATGGCTATGCAATGATGACGACAATGACTCTACCCGAGAGTCAATCCTCCCCCTATTCTATCGCGCGTATGCACCTCAAGATGGTTATACAGATATTGAAAAATATGGTTGCTGATCACTAGGATAGCTGCTCCGACGAGTGGTTGAGTATATTACTTGTAGTAGATGGAGGACCTGCCCCATTTACCGACAATTGTATCGGCCGTCATTCTGGTCGTGATGCTGTTCGTGATGTTGTTCGTGATGTTGTTCGTGATGTTGTTCGTGATGCCGGTCGTGATGCTGATCATGAGTTTGGCGGTGCTACTGGGAGCTCCATTGGTAGTTCTGCTCGTAGCCATGCGAATAGCTATGTTGGTTGTCATACCCATAGCTCTGCTGATAACCCCCCAGGGGCTGCTGACAATCCTGCGAAAAGCTTTGCTGATAGACGTTCTGGAAAGTCTGCTGGAAACCTTCCAGAGGCTGCTGATGGTCTTGTTGATAATAGTGCTGGGAGGTCGGCTGATAGATTGGCACATGGTTGCTCTGCGGGATGCCGGCCTGCTGAGGTTCAGTGACTTGAATGGTGGGATCGAAAGCCGTCAGCGTTGCCAACCCGTCGTAAGTGGAGGCCGGAGGCGTCTGCGAAGCTCCCTTACAGCCGTCACAGGTCTTTTGATGGCGCTGGATGTTATCAGAGCGGTTCGTGTAGGGTTTACCACAAGGCAAAAGGGTCTTCTCGCCGTGTACGGCTAGCTTGTGTCTGTTGACATTCGACTGGTTGGCGAACGGTTTACCCCCGCATTCTGGGTGGTCGCATTGAAAAGTAGAGGCTTTCGGGGCGGTCGTCTTGGCAGACATGGCAGTCTTGTTGCTATGTGGGGGGGGGGGGGGGGGGGGGGGGTGTTTTGGGGGTATTTAGGAGGGGGGCGGGGGGGGGGGGGGAAAAAAAAAAAAAACGAAAAAAAAAAAAAAAAAAGGGAGAGAAATATTCATAAAAAAAACAAGAGGGGAGAAAGAAGAAAAAAAATAAAAGGGTGGGGGGGGGGGGGGGGGGGGGAGGTTGTCGTTCTGAGCTAATTAAGGCAGTTGACCGCGGCGAGGGGCAAAAGAAGAAATCAGTCTAACAAATGCACAAAGAAGTGAGTGACTTAATTACTATACTCAAATGACAGTGGTAAGAAGGGATAAAAGATTAGAAGGTGACGGGAGTCGACTCTGGCTGCTAAATGTTGAAGTAGGTCGCTGGGCGGGATTATATGGGCTGTTCTCCCCTGCGATCGGCGCCGCATGTGTCTGAATTATCTCGTCGGAGGGTGAGGAATGTGCTGGACCAGCCCGCTGAGGATCGTGGTAGACTGGACGAGAAGGGCCCAACATCGAGCAGCAGATTCATGAGCCGCCCGACGTTGATGCCATTGATTCGCCGTGAAGACGACCCCTGCTTCTGACTGACTGAGGGTTTTTCGAGAAACCAGAAAGCACCTAGCCTAGTGCACCCCTCTCTTTACCCATTTGATCGTTGGCTGCTGAGGAGTGCATCTCCAATGTTACGACCATGGTGAGATTGTGTGCATCTGAGCCTCTCATGTACTGACGCAGCTCTCCTTATTACGCCGTCTTGCCATTGGATTGTGGACAGTTGCAACGACGTTTTCTCGTTCGAAATAGGACTCGGGGAAAGGAGAGCAAGTGTTGAAGACACACGGAACACACAGGGTGCGGATTGCCTTCCTTTCACCATTACTTATATTCGTGGTTTTGCTTCCTACCTTTGACTTAGACTATCTGTCAGCCTTTGGATCATGCGCCCCCACGTATCCTGGAACAATAGCCTTGCCAAACGACCAGATAACAAGGCCATCTTTCTCCGCGATGCGTAACTCTACGAAGCAATGCTTTCGCTAGATCTCGTAAGAGTGAAATTGGCACGCCTGCAACCCCTAGTTGTCGCCGTTCCTCAATGCAATGTCAAGTTGGTTGGCCATTTGAATTTAGAGAACGAAACTACATGAAACATTCAAACGTCGAGTCCTCACTGTGGCGCTCACATCGTTGGTGCTGAACTGCGATGAAAGAAGAGGGTGAGGATTCGGCCCCACAGCCGGCGTCACACCCGCCGTACCTACTCAAGGTAAGTACGTGCCTCGATCGTATCTTATCTATTTCAGTATCGCTCCTGGCTGTCAGTGGATTAAGGTAGGTAGAGACCAGTAACAAGCCAGCCTGATTTCAGAGGTACTCATAAGGATATGCAACACTGTTGTCACTTTGTCATCTGCTCATCGCCTGGAGTCCTCTTCTAGTACTCGGCCTCAGACAGATCAATTGCTGTCGGAAAACAGTCTTAAAGCTTGACTGACTGATTGCTTGTAATGCAAGACATGAGCACCTGAAGCCCTTGTTGTTTTTGGTGCGAAGTACCTTCCTCGCCGCACCTACCACTCCGCACCATAGAGGGAATGCCTTACAGCCCCGCGGACAAGAATGGAAGAGGGCATGCAGTGCAGCACTTTCAAATGGAACCACGCATATGGAGGATGCTTCTCTTCAACTACTAATTAACCTGCATACGAGCTGTTGTAATCCGACGTCAGGAGTCGATGACAAACTGGGAATTCAACCCAGTCACGTCTCGCTGACGGATGCTGGGGGTCCACCTAGCTTACATGGGCCTGAATGGTCTTAGACTCGCCGTTGGATGGCGATCCGGTTGCTTATTTGGTGGGGTTCACTAACACGTCAAATCACCGAGCCGAGATCATTCTGACTTGATCTCTGGTAGGTTGCATGCCGAGACTTTCTTGTATCTGAAGAGCGATTAGGCACAACAATGAACGTACGACACGTGAAACCTCCCGTTCTGTAAGGGTACAAGATGTCCATGGTTCATCGCATGTCCCCTGCCAAATTCGAAGTTGTCAAAACTGCTCCGCCTTGTAGGGAGCTCAGTGCCCGCGCCTGATTCGACCACACACATTAGTCAGCAAGGAAGTCAGTCGTGCTAGAGGCGGTATTCCGACTGATCATCCGTGAAAGCGAAATTTTCGATGTGTCAATCCCGATGAATTGCTAGAAAACTTTTCTCCATCATTGCTGTCCCAGTATGTGATGATGTCAAATTATCCTCGCATTCGAGTCGTATTGCCTAGCGACATGTTCGCGATGCTGAGGTTAACAGGACGTGTCCGAAGGGATTCCCCATTGTGGTAAGCCCCCCCACAGCATCCCCGTAAGCCTTTTTTTGGGGTAGCTTAATAGGAACATCCCTGTTACCCATAAAACCAAATTGCCGCTATGTTTCTGACGTTCTCCCTTGATGATCCATCGCTAGGCTTTCTTACGACGATAATTAGTAAGGAGTAACCATCGTTCATCCCTCATTTTTGATTTGCAAGATTTAACATGCATAAATTTGAAGTGCGTTGCCTTAGGTTTAATGTCGAGAGCCTACCGTGGGCGTTCCAGTCACTTATGTCATCGTCTCTCCTCACTTTCACTAACACGTACCGTGGATGCTACGCCTTCGTTGACATGCTCTGCAGTCTCAACAAGGCGGAAACTTGGAAAGACACCAGATTAACGACGTGTTTAATGACTATTTGGTTTGTTTTGAAGACGAAGTGTTCGTGAAAATACTCCTTCGTGACATTGATGACCTCGGAACCAGGAGTAGCACACTAAAAGGAAAAGAATAGAAAGGATCCCAAAAAGGTGATAACCCGCTTGCTCCACAGAGATACACGGGATGACCAGAAAACATGTATCATAAGAAGCCCTTGATTCTTTCAATGCTGCAGGCCGGGGGAGTTCTGGGCGTGAGGGCTCCTAGTCTCAAGTTAGCTTGGTGCAGACAGCCGCGGTGTAGGAATGCGTTTACATGTGCTTGAGCCATGGGGTCTCGCATTCCGAGAAGAGTGTTCTTCATACTAGGACCCGGGACAATATCCATTGTTGGGATCATAGATGTCGATGTGGTCTCTCGAATTGATAGCGAAAGCGTCAGCGCAATCGTCGACGACGTCATTGAGGACCAGGGTCCCGATATCATCGAAGATGCTGTCGATCTCGACGAGGTTGTCGTCGAAAAGATGGGCTCCGACGACATCGATGGTGTCGATGGTGTTGCCGACCTCGTTGAGTGTGTCATTGAGGATTATGGACCCGAGGGCGTCGAGGGAAGACAACCCCAGAACTGCGCGGCAATCAGAACACCCGAGCTGGTGGCGCCGGGAGTTGGATCGGTGATCTTGTCTGATTATGCCACAAGGCATCTGAACGGGTTCGCCGTGCTTCGCCTGGATATGTCTAGCGAGGTTGGATGGAGTTGAGTAGGTCCTTCTCTCGCAGCCAGCTTCCTCGCAACGTAAATTGGTAGGTGCTCTGTTCCACGCTGCAGGCATCGTGGAATCGATGTTTTTATCTACTGCGCTAGGAAGACAATCTTGGGTTGTTATGGTGCGGGAATCGGGTAGCTAAGCAGGAGAGTGAAGTAGCGCGGCATGCTGGTCCTTTTGTCAGGAAAAGGAGGATGAAATGCCATTTTTATACTCTTCAGTAGATGATGACGATAAAGCTGGTGGTGAGGCAATCTTGGTTGGGAGGAAAATGTCGGCCTTATTGTGTACGGGGCCCCATCCCACCCATCGCCGCGATCAGGGATGTGAGTTCGAGAGTTTGGCTCCACTATACTGCGGTCTTCCCTGGGTAGTTAGACCAATGAGACGTTTCTAAACCAGATTCGGGCCCACTTACTCAACTCTTTCCTGTTGCCCACGCCCACTTCTACAGTCACGGCAGTGGGGCGACCGCTCAGTGTGCATCTATGTAGCATGTTTGCTGGCGGAGAAGCACCAACCTCAGGCAGGGCTAACCGAGCGAGGCCCTTTCCCATTTTGTCCTTTAGCCTTCGGCGATTAGGTGACTCCAGGTACCCATATACCTAAGGCAGGCTTCGAGAAGAAGTCTAGCAGGTTATCAGCTTACTTTAACAAGGAAAAGAAACGCACATCCCGTGTATCGCCACTTGTTATGTCAGTCTGAAGCTATTTCTTTCTACATCTACAGTCTGGATCACTCTCCTCTCATCGCTCATGTTGCGAGATAGACTAGCCTAGTTTGGTTCGCCTGTCCAGGACGCCTCCTGAGTATCAAGGGTTTTCCAGACCCCTGTATTCGTACGGGACATGCATTCCATAAGCCTCCATGACCAAATCTACACCTGGGAGTTCCAATATCTCCCATACCTCTGGACCACGATGCTAATTGCACGGGCAAACGCCTACCAAAGCCGTGGTTTTCTAGGGGCAGGGGGATTTGCACACCAGAAATCGTTCTTTCTGCTAGTTGAATGCCGCTTGATTGGATAGTACCCCCAAAATAATAAGTACCACTTCGTGTACATAATGCAGCTTTTGTGTTAACTTGATGGCAAGTGCACCCATTTCTCTTATATCTTGCCCCATAATGCTAGCAGAGCCGCCTTCTTTGAATGGAGAAGAGATTTCAAAGATTCGAAGATTATCTGGTCTCTGTCGGGAGTACCCTCCCTCCCGGCTGGGTCTGTGGGCGCTTCCTCTCGAGAGAAGGTCGGTACATGGCACGGTCCGATCGCATGCAGGGACCGCAATTCACAAATGGGAGATAGTGTTCAATGCCGACGAATGACCACATTCCGTCGACTAAATGCATGGAGGTAGGCTGGACGGCCAGTGACCACTCGGCAGGCGTCGCACTCTGGACTCTCGGTTGTTGCCTGTCGGCGGCAACTACCGGATTGTCCGGGATTGGCGGAAGGTATTCTTATCGCTAAGACTAGTCTCGGGAAGCGACACTTGCTACTCCGTATGCTCCTCCCAATTCTCCAAGTCTATGGCTAATGCAGTGGGCTTGCGACAGGGAACTTGCTTATTGCAGCTTTGCCGATTCTTGTTAACGGAGTACTTCACCAGGCACACATGTCAGACACTTTAGCTTGAACACTGCCGTGCACGAATGCACCTGAGGTACTGGAGCCATATGAGCCACTTGATTTTGTTAAAGGCCGTATGGCCAGACTTTGGAGCCCAAGTCGTGCCAACATTACCTAGTCAGGGCACTCCACACGCAACACCGAGTCCCCAACACCTTTCACCGAGGCTTCACCTCTACCTCACCTATATTGCTCCGTCTCGGCCGACCAAAATTCTCGCGTCCGTCTCACTTTGGCCTTCGGATACCAGACCATCCTGGGCTGTCACTCGAAACACCTTGAAGACAAAGATCGGAAAGTCTATAACGCTGCGAGGCTTTCTCGCTTGGTGTACAGTAAATCTCCCTGAGCCATAAGTACCCAAGTTGCAAGGCATGTAATGAATACACAGATGTAAAAATCCATGTTCATGTCTCCTCGTGTGCATTCCTTACATAAGAATGGCTAGCTCTCCCCTTAAAAGGCGCCAAGGTGGCGTCGTAGCATTTGCCAAGTTGACGGGAAGGACCGTTGGTAAGTTCTATGCTGGCAGGCTGCCCCCACTATACATAGGTACAGGCTCAATATCTCCAAGGGCGCAGCGTCCCAAAGCGTCTTTCGACTTTGGGCTACTTGCAACGTTGTCTTCCATGGGATTTATCATGAGGGCTGTAGCTGTTGGGACTTGATGCCCGGAGCGCTGGCACCGAACACCATTAGTGTACTGCTCAGCTCAATTGCCTCATTACTCACGACATATGCGACGCAGAACATTCTCCGCCCTGTAAAAAATACCATGTCGCCCACTAACACTCTCTCAAACACCGGTGCTTTCGTCGAAGCGCACCCAATGTGAAGTCGGCCGCAACATTGGTGCAATCATCGTTACTACAAGAAATTGTCAAAGTCTCAGATAAGATTCTGGATTTTCGCGACTTTTCTTTGTCGAAGCCCGGCTGACGAATTTCTATCAGAGACTTATAACGAAGTGAGAGTTCATTCAAGTCACACTTTACTCATGGTCAGGGTCCACCTCACTTACACAGGCCGGGAGCCACGCACGTGTCACTCCACTTGGCGTTGGATTCCCGCCATTCCGCCCTTGGCGGGGTTCACTCACGGGCACATCAAGAAGAACCAAGCCTTTTTTACACTTGAACTTTTGGCAAGTCGCATGGACATAATTTTGTGTATTATCAAGGGCGGTTGACGTAAAAACAAGCTTTGCTATGTATAGAAACATGTAATAGCCAGCTCTGCCCCGGGTATAAGACGTTCACAAATCCATTGCACGATGTTTCTTGCCATAAGAGAGGGCGATTGCTCCTTATTGTTGGGAGCTCCGTGTCGACGCCTTTTCTGACGGCATGCGAGCCATCAAGTCGGTCTTGTTAGGGGCGCTATTCCGGCTGAGGGGTTTCGAAAGTATAGTTATCAATGAGAAAGCTCATATCGTTGAACTCCCCTGGAAGAAGTTCGTGGGTGAAGTTGAGGTACGTAGTCTCCGTGGTATCGTTGGCCGCTTTGGTAGGTAACTCGAAGCTGGTTTGCGCAGGGGAACTCGAAGGCTGATCCAGGGCTGTGCAGGATTTTACACATGACTTCTGGTGCCGCTTGATATTCGATTTATGATTCTTAAGGGCTCTGCCGCAGGACATGCGAATAGCAGCGCCGTGTTTGGCATGGTGGTGCCTAGTGAGATTGGATCGAGTGGTGAAAGTGGTGAGTTCGCAGCCGGGCTTCTCGCAGCGAAGCTTCGAGGGAACTGCATCCCCTTGAACAGGCATGGTAAAAGAAATTGACGTTTCCCTGGCAGACTGTTTGCACTTGAAAGATGAAAGGTACAGTTGCAAAGTTGAAGTCTGACTATATCATGTCTATTCTTCTCGTCGGTGTAAAGCTGAAGGAAGGCATGGTCATCGTTTTTAAGTGTACTCGGCATCTTGCAAGTAAGTGAGGATTGCGAGCCTCTTCGTCATTGTCCGAGACAAGCAACAGTCTTGTAGCCCCCCCCTCTGCACAGCCTCCCTCATCACTGACTGAGCTAACGGCCCCGTAGCCACCCCATGGGTAAGCTCGCGTCCAATAGGTGTACTTCCAAACACAGCTTCCATCTTGGCACCTGCACTACATGCGGAAAGCCATAAGCCTCCCAGATATCCCTGCAAAGTCAGCCTACCGAGTGTCTTGTCTTTATTCCTCCGAAAAGACGGGTACGTTCCACGGTTGGGCTAGCAGGCACCGCTGTTCACTTAAGGCAGAACGAAGCCATATGCTGTATAATCACTTATGGCTACACCTAGCAGGTACATATAGTTGAGCCGGGTTGCCGGTCATTACTCGGCACGCGTCTTAGTCTGGATTCTTCGATGTTGCTTATGTATGGTATTCAGTAAACCATACAGTGTTGGCCACAGGAATTCATGTCGCGCTGACTAGCTTGGGGACAGAAGACCTGCTTGATTCTATTGCCATTTCCAAAGTCGTAAGTCTATGGCGTATCAGACCACACACATATGACGACCTCCCCTTCTCGCTCCTCACCTGCGCTACTCCTCACTCCTCGCCCCTTCCCACTTCCCTCATTGGCCTTTCGAGCCTCAGCCCCACCTCCAGGTTTGCACAGTTACGGCAGCCTTCATACCGAATCACCTCTGTCCTCCTCACTACCTCAATTCGCTGCCAGAATCTCCGCCGCATCAGGAGAAGAGCTATGATCCCTCTTCCCGTCCGCCATCTTAATCATCTCGGCCTGCTTCTTCATCCTCTCGGCCTCGGCCTGCTTCGAATGGCTCACATACGTCCCGTACCGCAGCGTGCCCAGCGTCAACACCGCCATGAACAGGATCCCAATCACCGACCGCCGGATCAGGATCCACCGCAGGCCCTCAATCTCCGATTTGGCGTCGCTGCTGAGGTGAAGGCTGATTTTATAGTTGATTTGTTGGATCTGGTCACCATCAGTACGATCATCCTCAATCTTCGAGCAGGATCAGAAAACAAAAGGGGCACTCACAACACTATCACCAGCCTTCTGCTCCTCCCTCACCGCCATCTTGCGATCGTTAAACATACCCCTCACGTTATCATTCAGCGTCAGCAGCTCCTGGTTCAGGCTCTGCGTCAAGATATCGACCTCGTGCTGCAGCAGCGTCCTCTTCTGCCGCATCTCCTCGTCCGCCAGCTTCTGGTTGTTCTTCACCTCGGTGCTCAGCTCCGAGCACGCCGCCCGGAACAGGTACGTCTCGTTCTCGACGTCGCTCTTGCTCACCAGGCTCTCCTGCGCCACGTCCAGGTTCTGGGCCAGGATCGCGCGGATCGCCTTCATCAGCGTGATGGCCTGGTCCTTGCTGTACCCGCCGCCCTCGAGGTCCTTCACGAGCGAGTAGCTGTCAAAGTGGTGCACGTAGGGCGGGGGCGCCATGTGCGGGTGCTGCTTGGCGACCTCTTCGGGGGGTCCCATGTGCAGGATCGCCTCGAGGGGCCCGCTCTTCTTCGCCTGGTCGCGGGCCTCCTGCTTTGCGGCTTTGGCTTCCTCCGCCTCTTCGGGCTGTTGCTGCTGCTGCTGCTGTTGGTCTCCAGAGGCGGCACCCGTAGCGTCGGCCGCGTTGTTCTCCGCCGAATTCGATGCCGTCGCCGTCGCCGAAGCTGCCGCCGTCTTGGGGTTTACGCCGTCGTCACTCGCCCCCTTGGACGCACCGACCGCAGCCTGCCCGGGACTCGCCTCCTTTCCATCACCCGCCGGCGCCGGCACCGGTGCTGTCGTTGTTGTCGTCGTCGCCGTCGTAGGCACAGGCTCAACCCCCTTTCCGTGTCTCGGCGCGAAACCCGACTGCTGCGCCCCAGGCGTAGGCGCGAACGCGGCGTACCCCCGTCTCCGAACCTCGGCGGGTGCCCGTCTCCGACATGATTTCGACGCCGCGCGGCTCGTCGTCGCCGTCGTTGTCTCGCTGAGGCGTATCGTCCGGAAAAGGTGCGAATACAGAAACGTTAATCGTGCAGGCTGCATCGTGTGTGTGGAGGTGTGTGGTGGTCGTGGTGGTTGTGTAGGGAGAAAAAAAAGAATTGGGAAATTTGGGGGGGTGATGGAAATGGGAAAGTAAAATGGCAGCGGATACACCCGTTCAGGTTTAATCTCCACGATGGTACGTGTGGGGGGGCACGGGGTCCAGTGTGTCGGAAGGCTAAGCTCAGGAACCCGACGTTTAATACCGGCGTCTGGAGGGAGCTGTTTCCCCCTGATGTCATTAGGTGGATCCCCTGCCGCTTATCCAAGGTAACCCCGATGCCGACCTCGCTGTCGGGTCCGTTTCCGAAAACGCGGAAAATCTGCCGAGGACTACGACTTACACAATCTGGCTTACACTGGGCGTCGAGGTGATTGGGAATGCTGTACACCGCAAACAGGTAATCCCTTGAATGACTTCAAGCGACTCCCTTACTCTCACCTCACGCTCACAATGACACGTCGCCAAATCATCAGAAACTGTCCATACTCTCACGTCTATTGACAGGTCTAATCCGTCAGACTAAGACTGGTATCGCCTAGACACGAATAATTCAATAAAATACAAGAAGACTCGAAAAATATCATTTGCGCCCCAAAATGACCGGCCCCGATGCTCCCTTTGGTGGAAACCCGACAAACCCCCGATAGGAACCTCAAATTCCAACCGGCCGCTTTCCGTGTTCGTATCGCTCAGCCATTGTTCCTGTGATAAACCCTTCCAATGGCTCTCCAGAGACCTCAGACTCATTACTTTGCAAAATAAAAGTCCAGAAAACTTTGCAACCAAAAAAAGAAGAAGCAACAGAGAATCATGTCCGTTTTGGGAACCCTCGCCTTTCCCCAAATGTTTGTCCAAGCAGATTTTCTACCGTTGTGACCGTGTTCCAGCCATGTATGTGGGTGATTTTTTTTTTTGGAGTTGCATATTCAGATCAGGTATGTGTAAACAAAATTAGGTAAGTGTTCGTCGTCTTTTTTTCTTCTCTTTTAAACAAGTCTGGCACATGGGCCGGGATCGTCAAGTCCGTTTGGTGTCGTGATGCATGTCCGAAGCAACCGTAGACGCCGTCATCGCAAAAGATTCGTGTAGTACTGTTATCAGGCCTCCTCCACTTGCACCTTGAGGCTGACACCTCCGGGCGCGCTGGACTTGTTATCGTCCTCGGCAACTTCGCCAACGGCACTGGCGCTGGTGCTGGGCGGGCTGCTGCTCTGGGGGCTGTTGGGCTCCATAGTCAGAACCGGGGTTGGCGCGGCCGAGTTGGTGTCGGCCTGGGATCCCCCAGACTTGGACGGCGTCGTCTGCGTCGTCGCGTAGATGAGTCTGTCAATGGCGGCGAGCTGGCGGCTGGTGCTGGTCTTGCGGAGTGTCTGGAACTGGGGTCGCATCTCCTCCACAAAGGCTTCGCGTTCGGCACCCTCGAGTTGGTTCAGCAGCTTCTGAATGACGTAGTTGCCGTACTGGTCCTTCATCATCAACTGGAGCGAGCTTGTACCATCGCTCGCCTGGGAAATGATTTGCTCCCGAATGCCCTTGCGCTCTTCTGCGTTACCGTACTGGATGCACTTCTCCACAACGTTGGACGCAAACTTGTGCTTGGACAAGGTGACCAGCTGCGCAATGACAAGCTGAATGATTCTCGATCGGTCCTCAGGCATGCCGTGCTCGATGATGTGCTGCACGACGTAGTTGCCGTACTGGTCGGTGATGAGAACCTGGGTCGAGTTGTGCAGCTCAGCCAAGATGGTCTCCTTGTCCTGCTCTGTGCCGTACTCCAGCATGCGCTGAATGACCCGGCAGGCGTACATGTGAGCCGCCAACTGGCTGACTTGGCCGCGGAATGCGTCCATGACGAAGTCAATGTACTGGCGGGGAACCAGCTCGATAATCTTCTGCACGACGTGGTTGCCGTTCTGGTCCTTGACGACCTTGAGGATCTCGGGCTCCAGCTCCTTCACAAGCTCGGCCTGCTGCTCGACGAGAACGTGTTCCAGGGCCTGTGATTGTTAGCTTCGTCCACTTTGCTACGCGAATATGCACACACCTTTTGGACAACGCGGCAGGCGTACATCTGCATGGACAGGTCGACAACCTTGCCCTTCATCTGTGACGCCAAAACCTTCTTTTGGACCTGGTTGCCGTGCTCAAAGAACTTTTGGATAACGTAGTTGCCAAAGACATCCTTCATCAGTTGGATGGCGTTGGGCTCAATCTCGCGGAACACCTGATCCTTCTCATCACTGTTTGCAGTTTCGAGCTTTTGCTGGATGAAGCGCGATCCGTGCTGGTCGCCACTGAACTCGACAATGTGGCTGTAGATATCCTTCAGCTCGTATCGCTTGTTCGACTTGGAGCTGGACCTGAATTCCTCCAGTAGCAAGCTGCGGACGCCCTTGCCAGGGTCCTGGTCCTTGCTGGGCCGGATAGGCATCACGCCCGGCATCGAGTACGGCGCCATGTGCAGGCCGTAGCTCGGTAGGGGAAGCGATGGACGTCCGTAAGGGTCGAACATTTGCGGAGGGTACTGGCCCGCAAAGTTGGGAGTGTAGTAGGGTCCAGGGTAGAACGCGGGCGCCTGCGCCTGGATGAAGGCGGGAACGGGCGTTCGGCGGTCGCCATCCGGGACCATTCTCAGATCGCGGGACGACGGCCGTTGGGTCCACAGGTCAGATGCTTGAGGCGCATATGTCTTGGGGCTAGTGACAACCCGGTACTGACCAGAGGCACCGGCGATGCGGTCGGCGGAACCGCGTTTGTACTGAGCCGCCATGGCGTCGGCGTACATTTCGCCAGTGATGGCGGCGTTCATGTCGCTCCTCCAGGGCTGAGACACGGGGTTGAACTGGAAGTTCTGCGCACCGGCGGCGATGCTCTGGGCCTCGTCGAGAGTGAGGGACTTCTTGAACTGAGGAGCGAGGTCCGTTTCGTCCATCTGTCTGCCGTTGGCCATAAAGGCCCTGTTGTTGGTAGTCTGTGTGGGGAAGGAGGAAGAGTGGCCGGGGATGGCGGGACGGCTCGAGGCAATCGAGTTGCTGGGAGTGTGGCCATAACCCCCAAAGTTGTCTCGGAAGGCAGGGGGCGAATGGTGCGAGTCGTCCGACTGGCGCGAGGGAGGAATGCTGCTGTCTCTCGAGGGAGCACCCACCACGCCGAGATTCAGATAGGCGTTGTCTTTGGAACCTCGCTTCTCCTGCCTTGCGTACGAACCATCAAAGGCGCCGCCGTAGCTGGGCCCAAAGCCTGTGTTCTCCTTGTCCTCCTCCAGGTATGATTTCGGCCGTCCATTGATGAGGTTGCGTCCCTGCCCGACGGCGTTGTTGTCGAAGAAGGAATTGCTGTTGTGGATGCTGTCGCGTGTGCGATTCGGCGAGGTACTGCCTGATGCTGAACGAGTCTGGGTGTCTTGGTTCCAGGGATTCTGAGTCCACGTGTCCGCCTCCGAGTTCGCAGCGAGGGCACCGGACCCTGATGGCTGTCCAGCGAAGCTGTCTTCCGGGCCTAGTACATCACATAAAGTCAGCTTCCAGTCCATCAATCAATCATCGTCCCGGTCAACCGTACCTCTGGGGTCTCTCTTTCCTGCGCCGCCTGTGTACGTTGTGTTCCAGATGTTTTGCGAGTACAAGTTGGAGCCTGTGAAGCCCGGGGCGACGCTGGCGGCAGGCTTCTCATTCTGGCCGTTTGCCATGGGGAAGCTTCCGTACCGACCTGCTGGCCGGGCCTGGACAACGTGGCAGGTTAGCAAAGTGGCAGCCATCGGTGGAGGGTAGAAGGAACAGCAAAAGAGAAAGTAAGGCGCGAGGCAAGCTTTTTTTGAGTTGTTTGCCAGGTCTAGGCGAAGTTCCGAGCGCCGAATGGGCGACTCGAGCCAAGAGGCCATGAGGCCGCTAGGGAAGCGCAGTCTTGACACACACGGCCGCGCGCTCGCATCTTCGCGACCCGGAGCCCACCCCCATCGGACCTCACGTGGAGTAAACGGGGCAGCGACTTACGGTGGTGGTCATGTTTGTGGTCGGTCTCTGCGCAAGAGAGACGGTCGCAGAAGATGCGGTCGAGTGTCCGGGGGATGCGGAGAGAGAGGAGGAGCGAGGGTTTCCGGAGGTTGACCTTTGTTTTTGGTGCGGCGAACGGGGGGGAAGTTCGGGGCTGCGATGGTGAGATCGGATGCACCTCGCTTGCTGCTTGATGCTGCTCTTTGGGTGTGTCTGTCACACAGAGGTGCTGTGGTGGCTGGCGAGAAGCGAGAGGACACAGAGGTTGAAGGGCACGTCTATGTGGCTGCACACACACACACACGTAGAGGGCGCAGCTGTTTGTGGGAAGTTTTGGGTTTTCCGGTCGTGAATTATATACGATGTAGGTGTAAACTTTTTCTTGCGACAGGAACTTTCTCCAGGAATCGTCTATGGCGCGCGGACTAAAAACGAAGGGAGAACGGTGGGCGTCAGCAAAACCAGGCAGACTGGGGGGGCAGAAATTCTAGCGCGAAGCACAGGGTTGATTGTTGAGGAGAGGGTTTGCCCGCTTTGGTCGTGAGGGAGGGAGGCGAGCGAGGAGGAATAAGGTGAGGGATGAGGGTGCAGGTGTGCGTACTTGGATTATGTAGAAAGAAACAAAGCGAGTGGGCTCGTCCGGGAAGGCAAGGTATGTGGGAGAGCAATAGCGGGATGAGAGGGATGGAGGAATGTGAGGACGGGCGAGGATGAGGGCGAGAGAGATGACGAAGAGAGAGAGAGAGAGAGGGAGGAGTACGGATAATGTACGGAGAGTAAGGTAACTCTGTCAAAGGTATGTAATGTATAGAAGCGACCGGAGGCTCTTTTGATGATGTGGAAGACCAAAAATGTACAGTAATAATAGAGTAGACACAGAACAGAAAACACCCGACAGGTCAAGCGTCGCTGGTAAGGCTGATTAGGTTGATTGTTTGATGGAGCGCCCACGGTCGGCTGGGGCGAGGGACAAGACGGGAGCGGGCAGCTAATAACTTTGTAGGAGA